GGGAGGGAGGGAGGGAGGGAGGGAGGGAGGAAAGAATTGAAATCAGCCTAGGGATTTTTTTCATACGTGGACATGTTTATGGCATAAAATGAGCTGAAAGGTTGTCTTTAATGTAGAATCTGCTGTAATACACTTGGTGCCAATTCCCACAGTAATTCCCATGACAGGTGTCACTACAACCCCTCTTGATTTGTTGAAAAAACCTTCCTTTTCCTCCTGAAATGCCCACATGTTGTTTCTAAGCACAGGAAATTTTCTTGCCAAAGGCTTAAGCTAATTTAACAACCTATCTTGAGAAACCATATCTGGAGGAAAGACATTCTTTTTCTTCACTTTTGGAAATGTTTTCTCTTGTAATAGTGCCTTTTCACATAGGGATTGTTCTAAAGATACGCAGGTAAATAGATATATGTCTTAAGAATATGGTATATCATTGCTTTAATAATGAACTCGGGTGTAAGATACTGCAATTAAGTGCTGTGAAAATGAAAAGCTCTTAGTTATTTTCAGATTTCAGTAAATGCTGTACTTATACACCACAAAGTCTTTGAGAAGTTTTGCAGAGCATGTCAGATCAGTTGGCACAGACTGTGGAACTTGTATCCTCTTTAAAATCAGCAGCTTTCAACTCGTTTCTAGGACTCAGGCTGTGAAAAAAACAACTTCTGCTGAAAGAGCACAGGCATAAACTCTCTGCTGCCCAATCCTTAGCCCCCAATACGACTGGAAAACTTTAATCTCTGAGCCCTTTACCTACCAATCTCACCAAATAAATCTAGTTCACATTTTCTAGAACTTCTTAAAGACCAAGTCCTCCGCCTTGACTCCAAGAGTAATTCTTTACTTATGACCGATAGGAATTGGGAGGAAAAATACCGACAGGTAGGAGGCAATGGCTGCTACCTTCATTTGCTCATGGGCACTATTTCTGCAAAAATAATATAGCTGGATTCATTTCTGCATGTAATTTCCTCTGTTTTGGTTTTGTTGTGTTTTAAAGTGCTTCTTCTCTTCCTCTTATTCTGTTATTATTCTGTTTTCTTGAGTCTAATAAAATGCTAGATTGAATAAGTAGTAGTTCTTCATCCATACAGTAAAGAACTAGAGTTCTATCCTACAATGAGGACTACAGAAGCAGTGCCATGGAGTAGAAAATAACTGTATCTAGAAACATTTGTCTTTTTATTTTAACAGATCCAAAATGAGCTTTTCAGTTACCCTCTGCTTTTGAAAATTAAAAATATGTCCAGATGGAAAAGGGATTTGAAAGCACGATTAAAGATCAAGAATTCATGCCTTTTATTCTTAAAAAATAAATCTATTTTTTCTTTGGAAGAGCTGTTATCTAATTCTTCCCTCAAAATTGACAGTGGAATGGTTAACACTTATGCATATAGCCATCTGGAAATGTATACAGACTTCTGTAAAAGTCTATATTCAAAATGGAATTTATAAAGAAAATCTAAGTACTTTAAAACTATAATACCTAATTACATTTTCCTACTACAAATATTTTTATACAGCAAGTGACCTTTTAGCTTCACAAATCCAAACCTGGATGAAGTTCATCATTCTGTTTAAATAAAAAAATTACTGAGTTTTTCAACAACAAAAAATGTATTCACTAGTATCTTCTGTTACAAAATGAGTTAGATTGTTTTAAAAGTATTACTGGAAGACTATTTTCTGTTATCACTTGCAGGCTACAGTTTCCCATCATATGTTTTTTCTTTTAAAAATCTATTACTTTGAATTATTGTACACTTGCTTATGCAATGATTCAATTGGACACTCATTTCAAAGTAAAAGAAAATTATTTTGAAACGTATTATAAACTGTCAGCGTAGTGTGTCCAGTTAATGGACGAGAGTCTCAGGGCCAATCTTCTACAGTTAAAATAACTTACTTTAAAATTCTTGAAGTTTATAAAACACTGAAGAGCAAATTGGAAGAACCAAATAGAAGACAAAGCACAAAGCAAATTACAGCTTAGGTCAGAACAACTATCTGAGAGAAAAAACAGTAACTTTTTTTTTTTTCCCTCACACTGGCACAATCTGCAGGATCTGTGACTCATTCAGCGGGTTTTATGTGCAGCGTTAGAGCAACCTTTAGAGTTTTCCCCCAGGTTATCATTGTGGGATGATTTAAAAACTGAATTCTCTTTTCTTTAGAGGCTTTGCCTCAACTTTGTTAAAAGTCACCCTTGAAAGAAAAAAGAGGAGTGAACAGAAGTGTCTGAGGGCTCACCAAGGTGAGGAGGATCATCAGATAGTCCTACAGGCACTACTCGAGGCTGCTGGAGGGCAGCGTCAAAAGTCTGTCCTCTCCTTTAGAAACGTTTCAAGCAGGGCAGTAGCTTGCTGCTCTTGAGGCTGGCTGTTTACCACATCCCCTTTCATTTACTGTTCTCATAAATAAGATAGGAAAAGATGGATGTGTGTAATAGGAAGATTATTTTCAACAAATTTAATTGTCTCAATCTTCTCTGTTTTCACAGGACCACCAAAGCAGATGAAAATGTTATAGGTTAGTTGATGAGTTAAGAAGATGGGTTGATTTTTAAAGGATTTCCTTGACAACTCATTTCACAAAGTAAAAATGCCAGAAAGCCAATGTTTAAAGTTACTAATTAGAAGTCATTTTGTTTACTTTTAGCTCAGCTTACTCAGGAAATAACATTTCTGTACACAGCAAAGACAGGCAACAGTCACAAGCAGCAACAATAGAGAGGCTAACCAGATATATGGGAAAAAAGTCACCATGAGCATAGTTAATTGCTGGAACAGACCATACAGGGATGCGGGGAAAAGACCTTGGAGACATTCAGAATTTGACTGGATGGGCCACGAGTTACCTGATCTAACTTGGAAGTTAGTCCTTCTTTGAGCAAAAGGTTGGACTAGAAAGGCCCAGAGGTCCCATCTAACCTTCATGAGTGTGTAATAATTCTGTGTGATCACGCTGAGTGCCACCTAGTCCCTTCTGAAGCAATCTGCCAGTTTCAGACAGAACTGGCTTGCAAATAAGAAATCAGATATTCAGTTACTACAACTGAATTATTAGAATAGGCTTACATGACATGCGGCTATTAGGAGCTTTTTTCTTTCCTTCCTGGTCTCTAAAAATGATTTTTTAAAGGTCTTGATAGGTATTTAGCTCAACTCCAAGACAGTCATGGTCAAACATTCATTATCAGCTGATGGTCAAATAAGAGTAAGTAGAGGATTCCGGAAAGGACACGCATGTTGTGGGCATGAGCCTGTACTTCAGTCATGGGGGTGCAAAGTTCTTGGAAAATAGGGGGCTTGTAAATCATGTGGGCAGAATTACTTACTTCATTGTAAAGTATGTAACTACCTAAAGCAAACGTCTGGAAGTTATAAATACTAGAAAATACTTCGAAGTATTTTGCCTATATACCTTAAAAGAAGAACACAGTACACATTCAAATACCATCAAAGATTCATTTTGAAGCCAGACCTCAAATAACAGCAGTACTTTGAAATGCCTATGAGATGGAAAAATATCTAGGTACAGCTACTCATCTCCCATCTCACTTTGCTTCCAAAGTACAGAATATAAAGTAAATATAGTTTATCTCCCCATCTTTTACAGTCACATGAATGGGACATGGTGTAGTTAATAGAATATTCTGCTATAGGTCACACAGCAAAGGCATTTGTCAGATGCTGGGTGCTTTTTTTACACGTCTCCTCTCCTACGTTATTATTGTTAGCATCATTGCTGGTGGTGATGTACTACTATTTCAATAATACCCTATCCCAAATATTTATTTATGCTTAGTCAAGCTCCTTTAAGTCATGAGATTTGGATAAAGCAGCGATTTGAGTTTCTTCATCTGTGTCCTTAATTCTAAATTACTAAACTACACTCATCTTTCTCAGCTTTCCTCCAAAAACATGAGGGCAAAATGCTAGGGTTTTCCAGGGAAAGGAGATTCTGAATTTTCATACTGCACTTATTAAAAGTGCACTTATGCTGTTATTTTAAGCTGCTTCACTGAAATCTGAATGCGAAATTTCTGACACCAACATCTGCTGTGCAGATGACATCTGCTATTCAGCTGACATCTGCTCCTTAATCCTTGTTTATTCTTGACCATTTTTTTGCTAAACATTAAGTCTCTATTACATGTGTCAGAAAATAGAGATAAATTCCAAGCTATGTAATCACAGTCTCTTCTGCATTTCTGCATATAGACAGCCTAGAAATGCTATTTTATCTTCTTAATATTCCATTCTCTCTCACACTAGAATAGAGTAATTACAGCTTTCTGCTAGCATGATTCTAGGAGAAACTAAAGGTCCAGACTCCAACAAACATACAAGTCTGAAGTTAACTTCAGTTAGGATTTAGATGTCTAACTCCAAAACTGCAGTCCTTAAAGCTTCTACTAAAAATCTGTACTGCTCTCAGACCTCTCTATTTCATGGGCTCTTTGATTTTTTGCATTAATGTTACTTAGGTGCCTAAAATCCTGCTGCTGTACAAACCTCGACGCACCTGAGTCTCACCAGCACTGAAAAGTTGGTACCTTTTTTATACCGCTAGCACTCAGAGAATAGGAACTCCTTCATACATCTTTCCTAGTGACCTTGCTTTGGTTTGGGTTTTTATGACATGCTTCCTAAACTGGGCTATGTACAAAATTATTCAGAAGGAAAGATGACTAAAAATGGATGTCTAGAAAGAAGCAGGACTACAGTCTGTATCGTTTTCTTTCAGCTTCCCCATTCTCTTCATACAACAGTGACTACGATACTGAGCTAAGACATGGGAGGCTGGAGGGTTGAATGAGGATCCTCCTCCTCTAAAATTTTGGGGCTCAAATTAGCAGGCCCCACCCTTCTCTTTTAAACATGCTCCAGGCTGTCCAGAAAAAAAAATCCAGAAAGACAGCATTAATTCCTTAAAAAAAATCAGAATAAACTTGTACTTTACAGAATACACACAGGGTATAAGTATACTAGAAAATTAAACAGTTGCCCTGGGCACATGGCACAGAGTAGCCCACTTCCATGCTAATAAGCTCTCTCATGCTTCCAAGCAGGCTCGCTGCAGACAAATTGCTCTTTGGGAATGTCACTTGGAACATGCTAACCATCAAACCAGACCTCAAAATTGTCTAGGAAGAGCCTAAATTCCCAATTGTTCTCACGATGTAATGGTGCAGATTAACTATCTTCTGGAGCTCCTAAGGCACCGCTCAATTTCCCAGGATATGGGTGGCCACACAGCATCTCAAATGGAAGGGAAACCAAGAACGCCTCCTTGCCAGTGTGATCATCCTCTTTGGCACTCCCTCTCCCAATTCCCACCTACGGCTGGTGATGAAGCACCACTGTCTTCCTAAACTATTTGTGAGAAAAAAATTAACTGAGTCTGGGCAATGTTAGTCACCACCTGGATGCTCTTGGCCTGACACACACGGCATTTCAAACATCAAATTAGATATTTTAAATTATGGTATTTGAAATTACTCTTAGTAGATTCAGAACAGACCAAGCCTGATGCTCACACGAGCTGCATTGACTCCTCAAATTAAAATAACCAGTCACAACCACCCAAAAGACTTTTCCACGTCTAAGTGCCATCGACTATCAGGTTTCTCTGAGAACCCATTATTTATAAAAATTAAGTTAAAATTTTTAAGTCTGCTAGGCAGTTCTGAAAAAGTTGCTCACTGCTATATGTCAAATTAATATGCTCTGTTTCTTATAATTTGCTTATTTTTAGAGAATAAAACATAAATATATATAAATATAAATGTTCCTCTAGTTATTTTCATTAGCTGGGCATAGTGGGATCTCCACTAGCATAGATTATTTATTTTGATTTTAATATGTACATGTGATTGAAAATTATCTGAGTTCCCAACATAGTAAATAAGTGTTATATAGGTTATTAAAAGCTTTATTTCTCTCTGTATTTAGGCTTTTAAAATATAAAGTTACTTAGCAACCAAATCATTAATAATTATACTTTGTCACTATACGTTTCAAGCAGGGATCTGCGATAGGCGTGCAGCTCAGAAGAGATCAATACACAGTAGTGGAGATGTGGAATTGAAGTTCGTTAGAAATCACTTTCTGCTACTTCCAGTCCCATAAATATTGGATTTTAACTGGTACATACCCACACGCTCTCTTTGTTGGCTCTGTGGTAATTCCAGGTCATTAGAAACAGACACTTCTTCAACAAGAAAATTTGACAACTGCGTCCCAAGATACGTAACCTGTTCAAGAAAATCTAAATGGATAACTGGCCATTTTAGTTATTTGCGAGTTTTGCGATAAGTTTCCAAATTGGGTTTATGCACTTAACAGTTTGATCTATATTTATCAAGATAAAGTGACAATTATGCTCATTTGAATTTTGAATAAAAAAAAAAAAAACATCTGAGAAGTCCTCTACACTCTGCCAATACTTTCACAACATCTGTGCCTGGGCACCTTGACATTTTGATGAGTTTACTAATTTTTATTCTCTTAGTAACTTCTCCATTTTTGCCTCCAGTCTTATATTTTTTAAAACTATTCTTTCAAAGCACCAACAACTCACAGAGTGGGCACTCCACATGTTTTCAACAGTTTGGAGAATTTCATCACAGTACAGCTACACTTTTTGAGGGGCTATAGGATCTTTGTTTACTGATTATTTTTTAACTGTAAGAAGGGTCTTTTTCTTTATTTAATTTGTGCTTGTGTGTTCTTTTGCTTTAAGAACTATATGGAGATCCAAAAAGGTGAAAATATTTCCCAATTGTTTTACCTTATAAACTATACATTCGTGAGAATTTTTTTCCGATTTTTTATTACTATTTTTAGCATTAAAATCAGGCCTACCTTATTCCACACATACTTCCAAGTCACTGAAATATCATTTCCTAGTAGTTCTTTAACCCACTGAACTGGATTCTGAAGTATTCTGTTACTGATTTTGATCTTCCCATTCTCTAAGAGTGTGGCTTTATAGCTAAATTCCTTAAAAAAAAAAAAAAAAAAAAAAAGAAAGAAAAATGCAACTCATAAATTTTTTAAAAAAGTTAACTTAATACCCTTAAAACATCAATGAGAAGGACCATATTAACGAGAAGTTGCAGCTAATTAATTCTATATTTTGCTTTGGAAATTTTAAGGAATCCAATGCCATTCTCATAAGCTATGATATATAAAATATGATGACTTACTTCACAATGAGATGTTTTGGTCACAAAGATACCACTGCCAGAAGACAAATTCCCCTATATGTGAAATAAAATGCCTTTCTTCCTAAGCACTAAGCAAGTGCTTAGGAAGACACTGCTTGCCTCTTAGTTCCTCTTAGACATAAGGGAGCTATGAATATAATTATCTTGCAGTGATGAACTCAGGACCTCACAGAGAGTAAGTTTGTCTTCCAAGAAACGGTTATTCAATAACAACCTCCCTTATATGTACGGAACAAATGCATGCACTGGCAATAATTGAAAGAGGAAATATACACTTTGCACAAAAATTGCATTTCATTCATGTCCACAGACATTAAAATCAGAATTGCCAAATCAGGAGTTATAACAAGTCTTAAGGTTAAATAATGTTAAAATGAGTTGTTGATGAACTTAACCAGGTTGCTAAGTATACACGTTAAGCAATTACAATAAGAGAATGGTCCATTAGAAAACATTGACTTTTTTTTTTTTTACAATATCCAATGGCTTGGCCCTGTAGCTGTAAGATTTGGAAGCAAGATGTTTAACTCAAACACTGTGATGAATGCTAGTCCTGTTCACAGTATTGGGTCTATAATGCCCAAACACTGCATCCTGACAGCCCAAAGCTAACTTGAAGTAGACATTATATATTAACTGTACCTTTTTACCAAGTAGGTATCCATAACCATATAGGAAAAAGCTTTAGTGATCTTCTCTTTAAAATGCAACAGATACTGCCTTAGAACTTCAGTGTCTGCAAAGGTAGCAAAGTGCTACCTACCAATAAAAAAATAATGGCCATTTGCAGATTAACTTGTCTATGCCCAGAATATCAATACTTCCATGGTGGGTTTTAACTAAGACCCATATCCATCAAGCTAGTATCAGAGAAAACAGTGCTGAGAGACGGCAGCAAGCGTACAGAGTTCCTCATCCTTCAGTATAGTCACCTGGGCATTTTGAAGAATATTACATGTCCTTCAGAGAAAATAAGAACTGTGTATATATCTGTATCTATGACATGACAAAGTGCAGATCTGTTTGCAGCCTACTCACACTGTCTCATGTTATGGAACATGAGAACACATAAAATCACTAACCTCAGCAGAAAAGTATTCTTGAGCAGATTACAAGTGCAGAAGGAAGGAGTCTTTTCTACATTAACTACACCTAGTGAGAGAGCTGCAAAGACCCTTTCATGTTCTAATCAATATGTTGCCCTGGAAATTAACTAGCTCACAGCTGGGAATTCAGTCAATAACAGCCCTCAATAATTCCATCACTTGCTAAGCACTAAGTTAGTTCCCTGGCAGCTGCTGCTGCATAAATCTGCACTATATTTGGAGGCACAAGGGCATGCTTTTATATTAAAAAGAAGGGTTTTTTTGTCTTTTTTTTTAAAAACATGTTTAGTGCATACCAATGTGTAAACTATAGAATCAGCTGGCATGTAAGCAAGTAACTTTGCATATATTCATGTCTATCATGGCACCACAAAGTCTTTGATACTACATTTCATGATCTGAAGGTTTTGATAATGCCTTCCAAGAACTACATTTAGTCATAAGAATCTTCCAATTTTAAGATGAGGTATTATACAACGCAGACCAATCATTCTAGTAATAATAAATTTTGAAGTGAAATGAACAGTTAAGCACAAATTTTATATATGCATATTTGGGATGTTAAAATCATGGTCTGGCAGACAATATCATCCAATGTAGCATTTTTCGTTATAACACAAAATATCATCTGCAAATAATAAACACAATTTTCAATATTAGGTGCTAAAGAAACAGACAGAACTATGAGAACTGCACCTTTTCAATTCAGAAGTCGGTTTTTCATTATTTGTTAAAATAACATTATTTTACCTGACCAATTACCTGAAGTTTGAATTCTAGAACATTTTCTCCTGGCTTAATCCTTCCCAACTGGAGCAGATCAATTAACTGAAGTTTTTTCTTATTTCCTCTGCACCTCAGTTGTTTTTGTTCACACTGCTGACTACTACTGCTCTGCGAAGATTTCTGGCTGAGGTTTATTGGATAATCTGTGTTTGAGACCAGACTTGTAAGCACCAAGTTGGCATTAAATGAGTCAACGCTGCTCTGATAAGTCACTTCCTGCAGAGCATTAAGAGAGTTCTCCGTGGATGTTGCTGCAAACACTTGCTGCTGCTGGGAAGTGTCCTTCTTATTTCCATCTCGGCGTGGATCCGCAGCAGGAGGAACTCGCGCGCAGCCACTGCTCGCCTGACAGATACTGTTACTGACGACAGCGCTTTGGGCCTCTGAAATGCTTAATGTGTTGGCCACTGCAGTGGGATTTGGAGACTTGTTCCCTGGATCTGCAGCTGCTGCACAATCAATGACTCTTTGCTGTAAGCGATTTGTTTCAGCAGCAGCAACTGAAGGTAACGTCCCCACTTCTACAACATTGGTCACCTTTGACAGGATATTGACAGGATATCCTCTTACCCTGTTTCCAGATGCAAAACCATGATCAGAAACCTCTTTGCTTCTAATTGCTTCTTTATTTGCTCCTCTCTCAGCCAAACAGCTGTTTGGATGTTGGCTGCATTCCTGAGCTGAAAATCTCTTTTCTAAAGAGAGATCTGCTTCTACTCTGTTGCCGTTAGGCATCCTGGCACCAGGCCCTGTACTAAATGTAACCACATCAGGACACGTGACTTTATCAGTAGTTAAATCTTGTTCTTTACTATTTCCATAGCAAATAGGTGTGTGTGAGATTTGTTTCTTTGAATGTGTTGCAAACACCTGCTTTTCTTTTCTGTAATTTTGTATTTTCTGGACTAATTTCTTCTGGTTCTGGGCAACATTCAACAGACTTTTTTGCCTAGAAGCAAGCTTGACTAATTGTTCTCTCAGTGCTCCTTTTTTGAAAGACTCCACTGAAGCCCTATAGGAAATATAAAAGTAAAAATAAAGATACCACAGCTATTCTGAACACACACACACACACACACACACACACACACACACACACACACACACAAAACCAGTTTAACAGATCCATAAAGAACGGGCACATGCTTAAAGGTACTTTGCCGGCCTCCAAAATTTGGAGAACCTTCTTATCATGCACAAAGCTTATGGTTGAAACCCCAAGCTGTATGCATGACAAACCACAGAATCATGCCTAAAAGCAGGCCACAATGCAAAGCATAAAAACTACACTAGCAGCCTTGTCCTCCTGTACCACCCTTAATTCACAGAATTGAAGCTTGGTCTATATTCTCACTGCCTGGTCTCTTATCTCACTGGCTGGTCTCTTATCACCAAGGAACACGTTAGTTCATTGAATTCAGCTTTTCACTCCACCCATAGCAGAGAGGCTCTGCACGTACCACTATACCAAATGTAAGACTGCTGAGGGGTCCAAAGCACAGCAAGACCATTAGGTGCAGAACAGGGACTAAAACCAGAGCATGGCAGTACTGGTGCCCAGGGTCCTCCTGTAGGATCATTTGCTACTGCACGTCTTCATAAACCACGAAGCCATCAGTGTATGAGCACATCAGTCTTTGAACAAGGAGTAAGTCCTGGCCAGGACTGGCCATGAACGCTGCACAGTTTCCTACCAGTATTTCTTCAGGAAAGCTGTCGCTTTATTGCTATACAGCTACAGAACAAGTTGCAAAGCTTCCTGATATACCACAACTGAAGAGAGAGTGAGGGAAAGATACTGATGACTTGAATGGCACAGGCAAAGTAACTCAGAGTCACTAACAAAAACAGTGCCTTTTTTTTTTGGTTCAACTTTCTTAATGGGGAGACACATTTTAATATCATGTTCATATATTATGCTGCAAAAAGTTATATACTAATTAGTTTAAAATAAAATGCTCACCACATAAATAATAAAAAGAAAATACAATGTAACTTGGTATGTAGCTCATTACATTTGACGGATAGATGTTGTATTAGCTGCAGGGCATCTGCATTGCTTCAGAAATATTTATCACTCTGCTCTGGAATAGTTTTCTCAATATTAGAAGGCAGATACATTTTTATAAATGCTAAGTTAATTATGTTATCCTTTTCTTACTCACTAGTTTGTTCCCAAGGATGATCTGGAATCCTAACTTCTCTGCACATTAAAAAACGAAAGAAAACTTTTTTTCTTATTATCTGTGTGATCTATATATCTTATCTCTTACAGTTGGGAAAATGTGAAATGACAAAGGTGCTTTGGTCAATTTTTCCTCAAATTATATGGTTTGTTACAGAACAACTTGAAAGTTGTATACTGTACATGAACTCACAACACGACCAGTCTTCAACTAATCACTCTCAGAGGAAAGCAAATTAATTTCCTCAGGCAAGAGGCCTTTTAAGACACAGAAGCAGGCACAGTGAGCAGCAGCTCACGTCTGAGGTGTCCTCATGAAAGAGAACAGCGGTGAGCCCTGCAAGCCTTGCTCTGGGCTGCTCCTGAGAGCTGTTGCTTGATCACTCCCAGTTCAGGATTGCTAAAGAAACAGCGCTGGAGACAGGGACACTCAATGTAGCATCCGAGTTGCCAGTGCTTTCTCCCGTGATGCTGCAGAAGTCATGGAATTGCTCAGCACCTCCATGCCCTAACTTCTGCTACAGTTTCTCTTTCACCCTTCATTGTGTTCACTACCTAAAAGCAGTGCTCAAGGAGTGTACAGTAAATGACTAACGTGAGTTCACCAAACCCTGCAGTTCTTCCTTGACGTGCACTCCAATTGCAGGTAGGTGAGGTTAACAGGAATCACACTTTAGCAGAATCAGAAGGAAATGCACACAATTATCTTCCCTGTTACCTTTATAATCTCCAACTAATAACTTGCTAGCTAATAACCTAAGATTAGTGTTGCTTTTTATAAAAAAGGACAGATTTCTATGAATGCAAACCTTGTATTTTACCTACCTGTATTTTTTAGCAAGTGTATCCCTTTCCATTTTCTGTTTTGAAAGCACTTCATTCAAAGCATCTTGTATCTGAGACAGTTTTTGGATATATGCCTCTGTCCATATTTTGACATAGCCAAAATGATGATGGCAATAAAAAGAGGAAAATAATAACATTTTTGATGCAGTAAATGCGTAGTCAAAAAAATGAAAATACTGTAATAGCATAAGCTGATACTCTCATACATGTTAAAAGCTATTTACGTAGAAGTATTTTTAATTAAATTCTTAATAGGAAGAATGAAATATAAACTTATATTAAAGATAAGCAGCCCAAGTATGAGAAAATTTTGATGATCAAGAGCCTCATCTAGGAAGTTATTAAGAGATCTATCTGATGGCTGATAAGCTCTGGAACTTCCTCAAAGTCTTCACGTTGTGAGGAACTGCACAACGTGACAGTTACACGGGAGCCTCCTTACAGATGCTGCACAGTCTTAAGAAGGTGGCTAAAATGCTTATGTTTAAGAATTATAAAATAGTTTGATGAGCTTAGACTGTTCCAAGTTAAGTATATGCTAGAAATACATGTACCATAGTTTTACACAGTTTCAATTACATATTATAAAATGAAAATGGGTTACAAATTTTCCCTTGCTGTTAGCTACAATTCTTTGCAATGAAAAGAGAAATTAAAATTCTTCTTTAGACACTCTCTTTTCCTAGACATAAAACGTAACAGGAAGCTTAATGATCATGTCCAGTGGATACCATTAAGATAGCACACTAAATGCCTATAGTCCAATTATTTAAATTCTCATTCAAGAAAATAAAGATTTCTATTATTGTGGAAAAGGGGGAAATAAGAGGATTTAAAATGACATTTAGAAAATGTTTCCAGGAAGCTATTTCATAGTATCTACAAACATCTACTTATTTATTAAAATAGAAAAATACTGAAACAGTTCTCTTATTAAAGCAGCTTAATAGGCAAAGGTTCTAATATTTAGAGCAGATTGTATCACATGTAAACACCTTGAGGTTTATATTCTGTACTGTAAAACTCTTTACTCTTCTGTGGTCTCAGTCAGTCTCAGTGGCCTCCTCACAAGCAACAGCTGTGGTTTTATTCGAGAGGCACCAGATGATGAATGGTTTTGTCAGTAATGGTTACACATCACTATGCTCACTTCTCTCAGGCACCTAAATGGGAAAAATTCTTCTTTTCCTCTTTTAGGGAACTGCACAGATCTGTTTCTGCCTTACCATGCACAAATGCTTTACTATGCATACAGGACTTAGCATATTACACCGTCTATCTGTTAGTCAAACTTTTTTTCAAGTAATTTTTAATGATTTTTTCTACTGCATAGGCTTGACTTGGAAGCTATGCAGCTGTACAACTTCATATTTCACAGCTATTTTAAAAAGGATTATGACTATTTGAAATATAATTTGAGTAATTTGAAAGCTCCAAGCTATTTCAGCTGGGGAGCTATAGCAGATTCCACAAACACAATCACAGATCTGGTCTCTATGTAGCAGAAAACAACTTAGAGGTAGACTTGGTGGGGTGGCAGAGGGAATTAATGATCCTTCCTTCTGTCAGGGGGAAAAAATTCAAGGGCCAGAATTGCTCCGACCTACAAAGTCATGGCTAGAAGGCAGGGGCAGCCAGAGAGAGTGACTTGAGAGAAGACACTGTGATCTCCCAGGAGTCAGTGTCACTTAGGAGGCTCTGGAGACTAATCTGACCTGAGGTTTGATAGCTTAAGACAAATGACATCCCCAGGCACCAGCATCTCTGAAACTACCAGTCATCGACAAAGCATGTCTTTAAATTTTTCTTTTTTTTTTTTTTCTTCTACAGAAATTATTTTAAGACCCTGAAAATTCAGCCACACTATAAAGAAAATGCTGCACCCACTGTTATAGGGACAGAAAAAGGTGCTTTTGGCCAAGGAGGGGCTCCAGCAGAATCTCAGGCACTCACAACTAAGCAGTGTTGCCAACAGCGTGTGTTCCTACCTAATGATCCCTTTCCATACAATTCTGAAACACACACTGTTATTTGCATGCCTCCAGGTGGCTTCCTTTCCTTGTTATCATATGCATTCCCATGTAAACTGGGAATACTCCTGTATACATATTTGCGATCAAAATCTTATTCTCTTGTATCTTCCAAAAGCAGATGCTCAAATCCACTACTTGCCTACTGGTTTTAAAACACTGCTATCAGATAATTTACAAAAAAAAAAAAAAAAAAAAAAAAACCAACAAAAACTAAAACAGCTTGAATTGATTTCTACCTGCATCTTTGGAAGATCTCAGTTCAAGCAGCAACAGTTCTTCTTGCTTCTGGACAGTATCTTGTATGGCAGCATCAGACTCATGCACAGAGAAATAATCACAAGAGGTACAGACAAGTGCACCACATAACACACCCCATAATTAAACTATTTCTAAATACTTCCATTTTCATAAAGAAAAATCCCTACACTTCCAAAGGGCCATTTTGAAAATCTGATGAGAATTTTAGGATTGCTGACCTTTTTCCATTCACATGAGTAATAACAAAAGTATGCAAGTGTTTCCTACACTAAGTTCAAATATGCAGGAATCATGAATAGAGAGAAATGATAGTATACAAACTCATAAAATATACTGTGAGCAACCATTTACCCTGCATGACACTATTCTCTGTATAGACTCCAAAAGGTTACCTATTTTAATGATATTTTAATATTATTCAGTCAGTAGATGACATTATGCAGTACTACACTATGAAGCAGTTTTACAAAGCTCTTCTATTTTTTTCTACTTACCACACCGCGTTTCTCATACTGTGGCACCAAAGCTGCATCACCATTTTTATAGCAGTCATTACAAATAACTTTTGATCTTCTTGACCTAGTAGGATGATTACATTTCCTCTCTCCACAATTAAGAAAAAATAAATATAATTTAAAATCAAATTGCAGTAGCATAATAGGTTAGATTAGCTAATATAGGCTACCAAGATGCAATAGCAGATTACATAAATATCTTGGATATGTAAATGAAATCAAATTTAGGTGGTCTAGGGAAATAGTCCCTAAAGCTACTATACTTTTTTCAAAAATACAAGGTTCATGAAAATAAAAATATGGAAGATAAAGAAAATCTATGGAGCCAATTATGCCCTTTTTCCTCAGGTTCTCTGGGGAGAAATAAATCACATATCCTGCTTTCTGACTACAAATAAACAATAACTAAGAATTAATAACTTTAAAAACAGCAGGGTCAGGAAAGATGCAGCTCTGCAAATCCGGAGCATTCTAAGTCTATCGCTTTCCTTGCAACTACAGTATAAACCTAGGGTTTGCACTGTGAAAATAAACTTACTTGCAACCCTAACAGTTTCAACAGAATGTCCAGAGTCAATAGCACCGTAAGACTTAAGCAGTTCTCTCATTTCATCATCACAGGCTTTATCCAGGGCATTTTTGCCAAAATCATCTCTCTCATGGGGATTTGCTCCATGCTGCAGTAGAATTCTCACTGCCTATTATATATTGCTTGTATTGTAATTATTTGTGTTGTGTACAGATCATACAACTATGTGTATTGTATCTAACATAAGCTATGAATAATAAAGATTCAAATAAGATATACTAAAATCTGTTACATTTACACTCACAATTCAACTAAATGGTTTAACTGGCTTTTTAACACAACATATTTGCATTTTACACTTTCAATTTTCCATTAAAATACACAAATATTTCACAAATTGTTAAATTTACTATGTTTAAAATATTGCTATAGAGAACAGTTACAAAACATGAAAGATCTAATTTAAAGAAACTGAACAGAGTTCAGAAAAGCAGTGAATTTTTCTTTAGGCATTTGATAGTCCTCCTGTTTTTCAGCTACGTGCACTGATGATTTGTCTGACTTGCATAGCTCTGCTTAGTTTTAAAATGTGGAAATAACATTAGTGGTGTCAGTAGAACTGTCTATCTCCTAAAATTCTGCTCACATGAAAATGTTGACAGGGTCAGAGCTTGGATGTGGAAGAATTTTTGTATTATGATTTCCCATTTTTAGCATTTCTACTTCCCTCTTACGTTTGTATTTTGGATTTGTGCTGAATATCCAGAGTGCTTGTAAGCGTCAGAGAGAAAAATACCTTATAGACATTCCAAATCTTTTCTGCTGTCTTTAGAACAGTGCAATAATCAGTCACAACCTTCTCCACTGGTTTCAAACAAAAAAGAAAAGATACTGAGTAATAAATATGTTTGGGAAGCCTACTGACAGATACCAGGCCTGCGAAATCATCTCCTTCGTTTTATCCTTCCTCACTGAAAAGGTGTGATGAGAAATCAGAGTAAAGCTGGTACACTGGAGTCAATCTACATATTTTTTTCCTTGGTTCCCTAGAACTCACTGTGCCAAAACATTTTCTTTATTTGTTCATCCAAACAAAGGCAGCCATTTGGCCGAGCACAAGCGGGGATCCAAAGCAGCTCCCCCGACTAACGTTTCTCAGCCCCCAAGGCCAAGTGAAGAGGAAGCCCCAGGCTGCACAGGGGAGGTCACTTGGGTGGGGGACCTGGGAGCACAGAGGTCTCAGCCCCACAGCCACCTACACTGCCCTGTTGGGGCTGCCCCAGGCCTCCTCCTCTGCCAAGGGCCACCACAGCCCCATCACCTCCCCTCACACTGACTCGGTTCTTCAGCTGGTTTAGGGAGATACCTAAAGAATCCTCGCTTTTGTAGGAAGAGTTTTTAGGTATTTCAGCTCCTTGCATTAGCAATATGTAGTGAGCTTTCTGAGCACCTCTAGACACCCCCCAGTTTTAAATATAGGGAAAAAAACCCAGATGCAGTGTTTATTTATAGCAATGATTTTCCCATTCCTTTGCTAATTTTATTACATTCTCATTGAAATGAAAAAGGGAAATAAGCCAGACAAACTAAATGCAACTGCAAGACATCAGCAAGGCTCTCCCATGTAGGATTATTTTCTTATTGGAACTGTTCCCAGAAATATGTTTTTGACAGCTGGTCCTTTAAAAACAACCAGTTGGAGCATGGCCACTGGCAGGTTTCCTCCAAGCCATGCTAAGGGATCGTAAACTGTATCCTTTGCCTTCTTGAAAAGACATCACAATTTCTCCCATTCTCTTAAAGCAGAATGTAAGTTGAGACAAATTTCCTTCATAGTAAACGGAAATATTCTTAAACCAGAAGGCAAAATATATATATATTATTCAGAATAATTTAACAGAAGATTAAAACTATGACTGAATGCATTTTTTAAATATGAGATCAGACTTTTTGATCATTGCATCGCTTCATTTCAGCGAAGATATCCCTGATTTTATGTAAAGACAAAAAAAAGCTATTTAAAAATCAGTCATTTTTAATAGCTCCTAAAGATTTGCCTTTTTTTCTGGCCCACAAAAGGCCTCTGCTTTCATAGGACACTATTTTAGCTTCTCGTACATGTATTCAACTGCCATATCTTTCAAAAGGAGATGTATTCATCAAAGCTTACCAAAACTCTTCTGATTAACAGTCCAGTTCCCAAAATATACAGGTGTGCGTGTTACCAGAATTATTCATTAATTTTGGTCAAATTTGACACATGTTTGTCTGAAAGGATTATTTTTGAAAAAAAAATTTTTCTTCAAAGATTCTCATTTTCTTTTTAAAAATAAGTTCTGTGAGGTTAATTATGTTTGCTTGAATTTCTTTTAAGGGGAAAATACCTACATCAAAACATCTTTTTAAAACTTAAATTGAGAATACTAGAGGTTTCAGTATTATTTGGGGAGATTTTCTAATGGGGGGAGGGAAGGACTATCTGATAGACTGAAAAAGTAACTATTGAAGAAAAATTCTTCATCTAATTTTAACACAATCTACTTAAGAGATTCTTGCTTTCCTAAGCATCAATATACACTATAATTGTATTGGTAACTTCAACTTCCCTTATTTAAACCAGGATTTTGCTTTGCTTCCCCTTTTCAGCAAATCGGGCCCGAGAAAGCTACTGCAAAGTAACTGTACCTCCAAAGAGTTGGCAGAAACAGCATCATGTATTGGCAAAATACCATCCAGACCTCTGCAGTTAATATCAGCACCAGCTTCCAGCAACTCTGACATCACTTCAGTGAATCCCCTGACAGAAGCTTCATGAATTGCTGTCCAGCCTAATAAAAGCAAGATGACATATACAACATTCATCTGATTTGAGAAAAAAAATCATACGGATTGTTAATCATCAATTATACATTTTGCTGTATTTAATGTACAACAGAAGTCAGAGTATTCTCTTTAGGGTAAATTTTAAACAAAGAAATCCTAAAACACTGAGGTAAATTATTTCTTGTTTAATTCAGTTTATGTCGGGAGAAAAGTGTATCCAACACTGTTTACTTTTCTACTACACAACTAAAAAATGAAAGAATCAGGAGAGTAGGAAGAATATAAAAACTCAGAAGCATAATATTAATAACCTGATTTTTAATCCCAGTGACATTTTATGATATGAAGTCTCCCAGGGATCCAAATGAAACAGTAGCCATTACGAGACTACAAAAATAGACTGAATTGTACATTTAGGAATAAAGAGGGGAAAATAAACTGGCAATTTGATTTTTAGGCTGATTTCCTGAAGAAACAAGGTTTGTGTGATTGTGCTTCACAGACAGATGAATAGAAGAGGGCACGAGCATCCTCTGAACCGCCACGCTGATTCCCAGCAAGTTTCCCAGTGTCCAGGGCTCTCTGCAGACAGGCTCTCTTGCCTCTGCTGAGGAAAGGCTCCGCCTGGGCTCCTCAAATGCTTTGTCCCATCCTCCTCCCGCTTTGAAAAGTTTGGATTCAATCCTAAATTTAGGTATGTAAATACATTATTTCCTAATTAAAATTCCATGTATGAGATGAGGAAAAAAAAACTATTTCAGGTAGATATAAAGACTCCTATGTCTGTTCCCAGTTTAACACCATAAACCCACCCCATAGCTACACAGGTTTCATGTAAATGCTGTATGTGAGGAATATATGTGTGAACATATGAGTGCCCATGCCTATCTATAAAATCATTCTTGCTGTGTTGATCAGTATAAGGTATGCCCCCGAATTCACGCCATTTGACAGTCTGTTACAAAATTATCTGAAATTGATATAGTTGTAAAGAAATTATCTATGCTTCTTATTCAATAAGTAACAATAAAGGAAGAGATACCTTCTAAAGCTTTCCAGTTGCACTGTTTCAAAAAGCAGAATTATATGACAAATCAAGAGCCCATTTATTTAAATTATATAAAAACTATATAAAACTCTATAGGCTATAAGAAATCATGCAAAATTATACACAAATTATATCCTAAAACAAATCCAGTAGAGAGAAAAATTCAAACCTGCATTGTCCTTTTCATTGACACAAATTCCAGATGATATTAGAGTTTTCACCAAAGACAAATCTCCTCTCATAGCAGCAATATGTAGCCGATTTTCTCCTTTTGCATTTCTTTTCTTTGTCCAAGCTCTCGTTCGATAGGCCATATGTGAAACCAGAGCTTCTGTTTTTGCCGATTCTAAATATATTGGATTCCCATTAGGAACAATTAAAACTATTTCATTATAGACAAGGTATCAAGCTTCACAGCTCATTTGAATTAATGCAAATCTGTGTAATACTTTTTCCTTACTTATTCATTAATATTAACTGACTACATCAAAAGGTTAAACAGGTACTGCACAATATATCTGACAACACACAGACCCTTTGCGAAAGGATTTATGGTTCAAATCTAAGTGATTTATCAATGGTGTAAGGGATTAAGAATAAAAAAAGGCTAAGAAACAACACTGAGCAGATTTACACTGCATGCAGGTAGCAAACAATTCACATTTCTTCATGGACTCCTTTAAAGATACCAGGCGTGCCTGCTAGGTATATAAAGCATACAGATAAAGGTTATTTAAGAAAATATATAAAAGTGAAGACTTAATTCTCATCTCTTTCTCATTCCTGACCCTGCATTTGGCAAAAGACACGCTTCTATGCAAGGGTTTTTTTGCAGCTGTGGCATGCAAAAACATACAAATCTTTGACAAATGGGGACTGAGATAGCTCAACTGCCTCTTAATTTCAACCTCTTCATGATTAAAGTTACAATTCAAAATAAATGTGAATTAATCCTTCTCTTACGGGTTCAGCAAAACAGAGAGCATCTGCTTGACATTTTATCATATGATTCTCAAAAAAGAACCTAACTCTCAGAGCTCAAGTAATAAAAAAAATTGCAAGAGATAAAAAGACAACAATAGACTAAAAAAAGCCACTCACTGAGTCGGTGTAGAGTGAGGACAGGCCCTCATTCTCCCCCTAAAAAAACCTGCCACCAAAAAGCACACGTATGGGTAAATCTCAAGATGCCATGAATGGTAGCTTTTTTCTTGCCTCTGTTTCTGCCTCTTTAATACTGAGGGAAAAAAAATCAGAGAGTTCTTTCTCTGATTTCTTGAAAATCTGTAATTTGTTCAATAAAAGGGATTGTAAAGTTTTACATAACTGTTTTCAGTTATTCATATGAACAACTACTGCTGTTGCATCCCAAACTTTTCTTCTTCTCAGCAGACAAGCTGCCCTCTCAAATATTTCCAGTTATCAGTATCCATCACTATCAAACACCTTCCAGGATTTGACAGCAGACCTTTTCTAGGTTACTCCTGCCTTTTCCAAAGTTTCCTTTGAACTGCTAAGCTTGTCATCCAAGACTGCGTGGAAACATTTGAGAGACACACGGCAAGAGTGTTAAAGACAGACAAATAGTGAGGATGTATCCGTATTAATTTTAAATGGACTTGCTCAGGTACTGCTGCAGTCAGAGCACAGCAGCATGGAGTTCACAGGAGATTATTTTAACCCGCCAGGAAGCATTTGGGCACCCATCCTTGCATGCTTGCACTTGGCCCACATTGCAGGGGGGCTACATAAAGATTTCTTTTTAAAATGAAAATTGAGATTCTAGAGCATGTAGTGAGGTCACGTTTTTCAGCAGCTCTTCCAATTTGAGCCCTCCTTTTCTGTAAGATCATGTATTTTGTCTAGAAGCTTCTGGGTCCAAACTCCCAGAGCAATCATCTGCTCTCCTGTTCTTCTTGTCCCCTCCCATTCACGGCAGAATGTCCTAGGGAGTCCTTAGAGAGGCAGGCAAAGGCGGCCCAGGACAGCCCATTAAGCTAATGACCCTTAGCAACACTGGCTGCAAGGGAACAGAAATAATTGCCAAGTTTTCCGGTTAAGTTGTCGTGCATAAGAGTTTTCTTCATGTTTGCTAAGAAATATTTGCAAAAGAGGAACGGGACAGACATTGTTATGGGAATCATAAAGCAGGGACTCCCTGCATTACCACGCGGGGCAGGAGCCAGCACTAGGAACCTGGCAAATACAAAATCCAGGGATTACAGGTGGAAAGAGCAGGGAGATTACTGCAGCCAGCAGCTGGACCAGTTTAGAGTGCTGTATTTCAAGGGTATCATCCTTTAAACAGACACTTTGCCTCTGGCTAATGAGTAATTCTTCCCATAGCTCAAACTGTAAGTAAAGAACCAAGATGTTTGTGCCTCTCCTCTATGTATAAGTAGAGCAGGAAGATACAGAACTCAGTCACCCAGGAGGTGACCGACTGGAGACAAGTGAGGTGACACTGCATATGTGATCACCTAGGGAAAAAAGGCCTTTATTCAAGAACAGAATGATGTAAAGAAGACCACAGGGGACAATCAGATAAGATACAAAAGCCAGTTAATGAAGAAGAGGAATGAGATAGAGGGGAATAAAAACCAACAACAGAAAAACTCCCCAAGCCAAGAAACATCATCCTGTCTTTTTTTTCTTTTCCTGCTGCAAGCTGAATGCTATTGTCCCTGTCCCCAAAGTTATTAACACCTTCAGCTACACAAAGGGCTACACTTTCTCCCATGACCTCTCAACCAGCTACCTTCTTCTGGGATGATGGAAATAATTAAATTTTAGCTGAATAAACTGTTACCTGAAGAATTTCCCTTGTGGAAAAACCGATCTGTGAAATGAAATTCCGAGAAGGTCACAATGCAAGAGCCGTGCTTGGGATAAAGTGGGGTTTTTGTTGTTGTTGTTGGTTTTTTTGTTTGTTCTTAATTATAACTGCATTCATTGTAGAAAAAAAGGGGGGAAAATATTCACATACAAAAGATATATGGGTACATAAAATAGATACATTATAGATCTACAAATAAATACCAACCTCAAGATAGAGCAGGAATAGACAGAAGCTGCAAAAAGGAAGGAAATCATTTCTATGTTCAGTGTTTATTCTTGCAGTAATTAAGCGCAAGTGATGACATTTATCGGCTTTCTTTGCAGAAAGAGTTGAAGTAACAAGCGAATCCTACAACAAGAGGAAGCAAGTTGGAAGTGGGGAAGTTAAGTGCTGGCATTGCCAAATATTGCAGAAGCTGAGGAAGAAAAACAAGAGGAAGCACCTGCTCTTTTCCTCCTCTCCTCCTCCTCCAAAACCAAGGAGACAGTAGCCAAATTCAAACAAGAAACAATTAGAACCTGAGGCAGGAAAAGGACTGGCAGGAACCCACAGGATAGCTGGGGATATCCAGGAAGGTGGATATCCCCATGCCCTAGTTGGGCATGGCACGGCCAGCGCTGCAGGGCAAGGCAGACACTGACTCACGACTCCTTGATTCCATGTACAAGGCCAGCAAGCGCCCAGAGGGAAGTTCCCAAGGAGAAGACAGTCCTTGCTAGTGAAGACAGAGATGGACCTGCAATAACCTGCAAGACACAAACAGTTTTTGCAGAAACCAACCCAATACAGCTCTGAAAGGCAGGGTTTGAAATCAATAGCAACACTCTACTGCTATTATTTGCAGTAATAATGCTGTATTATTGGCCTTCTCCTACATCACACGTAACTTCAAATAACCTGACAAAATGCTGAAAAAAAAAAGAACATTTAAAAAAAATCTTCTGACAATCCTTACAAATCCTCTCTGCTCTGCAAAGAAAGAGGTGCCATTTTTCTAGAGTATCATGCCACCATCTTAGAAGGCTGGATTATCTCTTCCCCAAGAAAAGGGAAAAGTACCATTCCCTGCAGAACGGTCAAGAGGGTATTAAGCAGGGAAAATATATATATATATATATATATATATATATAAAGGGAAATAAAGGAGCATCTCAATAGGATGCATGTGGAGGTATCCATATTTTTTGTGTGTGTGTGTAAGAAAAAGATAGATCTGTAAGGATGCGTGTGCATAGTTGTTAGCATACTTTTTAAAATATATACACTGTCTTAAAAATAATTTAATCAGTGTAGGAGCATGAATTCCACTGGGTTTCAAAATATATATGAACTAGTGCTAGTATCAAGTTATGTCCCACTCAGAGACAATCAAAGTTTGACCAATAAGAGTCAAACCAACGTGTAACTGCGGGGCAAGTAAAACAAATTTTTTGAAGCTGAATACTCTTTAAAAAGTGAATACGCTTTTAAAAATGAGTGTCAGCTGCACACAAATATATACATGCATAGACATATACTTCGATAAACCTGTATCAGTAATATACATTTTCTTACGTATCTACATACCAAGCACACATTTACACTGACATTGTAGCTCTTTAAAAGCACAGTTGCATGAAGCTGAAGCAACTATAAATAAAAACCATTCAGAAGAAAAAAAAACTCAGTAGAAAAGTATGGATAACTAGGAAATATTTCACATTTTCCACACTCAAGATAAATAGCTACATTGATTCTAAAATTAATCTAGCCTAGGAATGGAATTGTGGAGCAGTAGTAAGAAATGAAAAAAATGAGGAATAGCAACTGTAAATATAGAATTGCAGAAAAAGACAATGGAAAACAAATAAAAAACAATAAGTCACAGCCAGCTAAGATTTTAGGAAGATAGTTTTTAAAAATCTTCCCCAAATTCGGAATTATTATAGACAAATGATAGAAAGTCTAAGATAATCAAAAAGGACAAATACTCTACTCTGTATCACAGCAAAGTGACACGAAGTATTTCTATCATCTAATGACATGTTTCTTTTCATTTCAGCCCAAGTTAATGAGAATGCCAGATGATAGGAAGATGAATGTTTTTTGAATCAGCAGTCTGGATATATTGCATCCCAAAGTTTTAAGAGAAGAGGTCTCTAAGTCTGCAAGTACTATGGAAACTGCAGAAGGAAATAAAATACAGAAGAGGACTGCCAGCTGTAACCAAGAGCAGAGCAAGAGAAAGACCAGCAGCCCAGTAATCAGCTGCACCTGAGCTTTATCCAGGTCAGCAATGCTAAAAGATAAATGCAGGCCTTAAACACAGCGCGTCACCGCTGAATAGAAAGCTCTATGTGCAGGTACAGGAGATTATAGTTGTCAGAAATAAACGTTAGATCCTTTATCCATATACAAGTAAGTTTGTACAGCACAGCTAAAACTAAATGTATCAGAACAACCCGAGCCTGTGATGATTTGTACCTGCTGAGGATATGATCTCCAAAATAGACGTGGATATATATGTGCCTAATACAAAGAATGGAGAAGAGAGATAGGTTTTATTCTACGGTACATAAAATAGTTAGCTGATGACCTATTTGACACTACTTGGAGCTCTCAGTCATGATTCTACAGTCCTGTAAGTTAACACACTGAAAAGAATGATGAACAGAGCATAAATAAAACACAGCAGGTATGTGAATTCTGTACAGATGTCTTGACAATATTTCAAGAATTTGAAACTCACTGGAGTATTTGCTCCACAAGCTATAAAAATTTTTCTACACCTTCTTGCACATGCACTAAAAAAATTTCTCCCTATATGTCTGGGGGGGGAGGGGGAAGAACTTATAAAACTATTATTTTTTCACCTGGTTTCTTAGATGTTTGCTGTTTTGATCCTTGTTTGAACTGTGATTGATTCAATGAAAACTTGTTTTTCCTGCCACTGGAACACAAATCTGTCTTTTGGCTTGTCTCCTGAGAGTCTAATTTTACTCTTTTAGTTTGGATTGTCTCCGTTTCAGTAAACTGTGAGAGCACATCACTCTCTGCATTCCTTTCTTCTTTGTTTTTTTCAGCATGTTCTGTTCCAGTTATTTCAGCAAACTCTCCTTTATCTGTTGGTTGAACAAAAGAACTGAGAATATCTTAAGGCATAGCGCTCAGTGACTTCAGAAACTGCAACTGATATTAAAAATTATTACCAAAATGAGCACCTACTTTTAGTTAGAATACCCCCACAGTAACTCATTCAACTCAATTTTTGAAAATCTTTTAAATATAATGAATACTATATCCATTATTTACTGAAATTAACTTACTGAGATTGATTTCAAGAGTTCAAAGATGCATTAGGTTACTCAATATTTAAAAAATTAAGGTATTAAGAACTTCATTCTTATTACCGTAATGAATATTTTGGTTGCATTTTGATAAATACAATTGGACTTGCATGTAGAATAGGCCCCAAAGTACAGATCACAAAACAGTTCATCTGGCATGGCAGACTATAACACAGCCCCTTCCCTATCTCTGCCATTTATTTACAGTAACACACATACTCTAGTGATCCATTTTTTTTTAATATAAAATTTTCATAAAACTCCTTAACTAATTATTTTCAAACAAAACAAGGCACCTGTCTTCCGGGAGGGTTCCTGCTCGGTATTGTGCATAATCTGAGCAGAATAAGGAGACTTGTTTGTGTTAATACCAAAATGCAAATCTGCTTTTTGGTTGATCTTCTGAAGATCCTCTCTCTTTCTTTGAAGAGCTTCCTTTTCTGGGAGTTGTAAAGCTGCAGACTCCTCTGGTTGTTGGTCTTCTTGTTTACTAGAGCTTAGCATTCCAGTGCTGGGATTTACAGGACTTTTGGAAATACCTTCTCTACTGGCAGCCCCTACGGCTTCGTGTGCTAACAGTGTTTCTGAAGCTGTCTGAAATGTTTGTTCAGTACAATAGGTTCCTTCCTCAGATATATTTGTAAAAATGTTTTGCACCCCATTTGCAATAGTCTGCTGGGATATATCTGTGCTGTCTGAATCACTAAGATTTGCACATGCTGATTCTGATTCATCTACCTGTGAAGAAATCTCTTGCAGAGGGGCCAAGGAAATTTTTGAACTCAGAGACTCTCCATTAATTTTGTTTCTCTCGACATCAGACTTAACTTGATTTGTCAAGTTTTTCAAATAAATCATTTGTTCTGAATTTGTTCCCATATCACTATTTAGATTCCTGTCATTCAAGCTGTCTTTACTACTCTGCTTGAGACTAGGCTGATGACTGTCATGACTCTTCATTTCCTGTTGTAACTGTGAAGGTGACGCGCCGTGAGGCAAAGTTAAAGAAAGTATTGCCTGAGAATCAGGTTCTGTTAAATCAGGAGATGCAGACTGTTCCACAGACATGCTCTCTGCAGGCATGGATGCTGTGGGGCAACCTAAATTGGTCACCTCCTTCCCTGTGATGAGGGAACGTGCTGCGTTTTCACCACTTCTTTGCTTTCTTTCTGCAGAACTGTTTATTTCACCATTGTTATCGTTACTGAATCCACCTTCCTGTTGCATTTCTGTCTCATTTAGTAAACTCAATTTTCCTTCAACATCAATGGTGCTGCAATAATTATGATCAGAAATATCTACACTAAAGCCCCTTTCATCAGGTCCAACATCAGGAAAAACTGCTTTCTGTTTTTCAGTCGTTCCTTGGTTTGTAGTGGGACATAAAGAAGATACATATGTTTCATGTTCATTATTTTTCTCAGTAATTTTACTCTTGTCAGTAGCGTCTACCATATCAGTAACAGATTTCTTCATCTTCTTGGAATCTGAATTTGTATCTTTCAAATTTTCTTCATTCAGTCCATTGCCTTCTAAATCCTGAAGAACTGTATTTTGGTTTGTCCCCAAACTCTGTTTTTTCCTGCTTTGTTCCCTTTTAACAAAGCCTTCCTTTGATGCCTTAGTATGAACATGTTGAACTGCACCATTCGCATTTAACTCTGTCTAGAAAATAACATATATTTTACTTTGTGATAAAATGTTTTATTATACACTGAAAGAAAACTGCACTACTGTAACATTAGCTATTTTCCTCTGCTAGTGTAACTTTTTTAAAATAGCAGGAGAGAGAAATTAAATAACTGACAAGCATACATGTAAACTTGTGAAAATTAATGAATGAAATCAAAATATTACTGAAGTGTTCTACATTTTTATTTATTTCTTAAAATTTATCTGAATTCAATTTTACATTCTGCCTTTAAATAATTAAATCCTCCAGGAAAACCTCTCTGCAATGATCTCAGTAAATTATAAAGGAGGTAAAATAACACAGCAAAAATAGGGAATACTAAATCTTCACAATTTTGCAACAAAAACACCTCTAATGGTAGGTGACTACCTGAAATCGTCTATTGATTATTTGGTATCTGGAGAATCAGAGCACAAACACTGCAACAATTAACACAGCGGTTGAAGGCCTCAGATACACAGTTCTCAGTTGTGTTTTCCCAGTTAAGTGTTCATAACAGTTTCTATTTGGAGAATGTTTTTTGTCAGCAGACTCATCTTTTAAAGTGTAATTTAAAAGTAGACATCATGGAAGCTGGTACAGTACAGCATTTCTAAAGAGACTGTAGGTTATACCACTGTGAGTAACGGACATTTATCATAACCACATAAAACTTCAGCAAGGAGGAAAAAAGCATCTGTTTGGTGCAGTATTACCAGTTACCAGTATTCAAAGGGGAGAAAATGGGAGGGAGAGAACGTGGCTTTAAACCCTCTGAGCGCCAAAAGCAGCCATGCAGTAGAGCCAAGGAGCTTCCCAGGACCCCCTTCCCGTGAAGCAGTAGCTCCCAAGCCTTGGGGAGGGCTCTCAGGTGCAGATCTGGGCAACCCCTGCGCAAGGCAGAAGCTCCTTTCCCTTTCCTGTAGAAACCAAACACAACCAATGTGGTGCACACAGGCAGGGAGCAAGAGATTTTTCTCCTACTACCATCCAGGCAACAGGTCAGTTCAGTCAGGTTTCTGCAAGTCCAAGGAGGCACCAAGACACCCTCCTTCCTGTAAACTATCTTTGCAGCACTTGCAAAAGCTCCACAGGAACCACTGCGAGCAAGGGGCAGCTGCTTGCCTCTGTCCTGCATCTTCACGAGGCTGCAGTCAGATGAGTAGGCACCTGCTGCTCTTTGCCTAAGAATCTGCACAATGTTTGCCTTGCTTCAGCCCCTGCTTGGTGAGTATTAAGCAGTTAGTAGGTTAGGTGCTATTTTTGAAACATTTCAGAAACATTCTTAGTTTACTGAAGCCCATAGCAGCCTCTCAAATTAACACCTGTCCCTGTAAAGACGTACCTGGTGCAGGCTGGTATTGTCTGAACTTTGAGCACTTAATGTATTCTCAGCATCCTCCCCAGCTGAAAGAAAATGAGAGACAAAGAGCAACCAGCACTGACAAAGGACCGTATTTTTTTTTGCTGAATTCATATTGGATCCTGTTTCCAGAATCTTGGAAGAATAGCATCGACTGCCTATAGCCAGCTGGAAAATACAGCAAATCCTATGAGTTTTATTACAATACAAAAAACATAAACATATAAAATACATATTAAAATATCTAATTAAGGCTTCCTAGTAGCCTTGTAGCACCTCTCTGTACCAGCCCAGCCTGTGACCCCATGTGAATCTTCTTAACAGCTTAGCTCATAGCACAGTACAAAATCCAGCTCCAACCTCAGGCTAAATGTTTGCTTATCTGATCCTTGTAAACTCAGCCTTTGCCTTAGCTCAGTTAAGCTAATATTATCCCTAAACTGTAGCTTAAGCACACATCCAGCTCTACCATCAGAAGCTAAGGATAAAGTTTAAGCAGTTGAGGTTTAGTAGTTCCTAAAATCTAAATCTAATTTTAGACCCTGCAGGCTTAATCTTAACCTTAATCTGATGGTTCCTTCTAAAGTCAGCCCCTATGACAGTTCTAGAGTCAAACCCAGCCTTAACTCTAAGTCATAGCATAACCATAGCTAGCATGCCCACCACAACCCATCTTCCATATAAATAGGCAATAGCTGCTGTACTCCACATCTGCACCTCCAATCTAAAGGCAGCTCTAGACACCACTGCCTTACATACTTTTCCAGTGTGCACAGACTGCGCTGGCTCAGGAGTGCTCACAAACTCAGGCATCAGACAATGAATTATTAGTTGCAATTAATACTGAGAATTTTTCAAATTCTCCATTTAATGGTGATGGGTCTGCCAGAAGAGTTCATTCCTACCTGGTATCTCTTCTAAACATCTTCCAGATTTGCTTATATAGCTTTTGAGTAGTTTCCTCATAGACTGGTCAGAAGCTTCTTCTAACGCACACCTTCCCATCTCGTTTTTTAATAAAGGGTCAGCTCCATACCACAGTAATAACTCTGCCAACTAGAAAATAAGTTTTTCAGATATCTATTTCTTCTAAGAGTATTCTTCATATTCCTTCCTTGTATAGGCTTCTCTCTATGTGTTTAACTCAGTGAATAACTAAGAATTCGTCTAAGGTCTATTCCAAATATTCCCTCCCTATACCAGTTAATGCATCCAAAGCCTTTTCCTAGATGTATCATTCTCCTAACATCTTACTATTTTCTTTTTTATAAATTGATTTTAGTGATTAACATGATGCCAATCTTAAACTAAGGTTTCAAAAAAAAAAAAAGGAAAAAAACATAACAGAATTCACACTCCCTAAGCTCTTAATTGGTGGAAAATAACTGATGGTTGTAGGGGATGAGTCAGCTCACCTACTGAAGATGCCTACTTAAGGAGAAAACCTGTGCTCCGTGTGTGTTGCAATTTCTTTCTTGCAACTACTGCTGAAACTCAATCCGAGAGTCTTACTGACACTATGATTTCTTTACAAAATGTACAGCCTAACCTGTTGTTATTCAAGCAGATGACTACTCCATCAAAATATTTCACCTACCTTCGTAGAATACTTTAAGTCACATAAAAATCTTAATCTGATGATTACCTTTCTGGGGCCAATCTTGCCATTTTATTCCTACTCTACAATGTTTTTAATTGTATCTCTGCCTGTCTCCCTCTTCAGCATCTATTACCATGTCAGATTGGGCTTGACTCACATCCTTCATCCTGCATTAAAATTCCCCCATTATTTCTAAGCAGTCTTTCACTGACAGGATCACTAGCCAAGTTCTTTCTCCATCGCTACATTCTCCTAACAGCAGAGTAAATGGGAAAGAGCAAATGAGATTTTGTTGTATTACAGGATGAAGCAGTGAAAAGGCGTGTTTCCAATCTGTAACAACAATTACACCATGCAGAGAACATAGCTTTGGAAAAAAAAACAGCTCCAAGTATCAAAAGTCATATTACTGAATCACTAGGATGCTCTGTCCAGGCTAATCAGAAGTAACAAAAAAGCAACTCGTGGAGGCCACCACAGAGCTGCAGCTCTAATTCCCCAAGCAAACACAGTCCCACCTGCAGCACCTTCCCTGGGTACACACAAGTTCATGTCACTCTTCACAGAGCTTTATGCTGAACCATGTTGATGTTCCCCATAAAATGATAGTTTTTCCAACATTGTTCTAGCTGCTGACCCCTGAAAATTATCCATGGAGATGCAGCGCCCTGCATGTCTAACCATGGACCATGGTATTTTCATGGATCTTTAAGAAATATTTCAAGAACCCTTAAGAGTCAGCACTCTACAAACTGACAAGACCGAGAAGAGGAGAAATTAAGTTCAGGTTTCTCTAGTCTTGGGAGAAAAATACTAACCATAAGCTCACCCTTGCTCTTTGCTCCAGGGAAACTTGGAAAAACAGCTTAAGTCTTACCTCAATTTGGAAATTGAGAGAAAGCAAATGTTTAGAGACAGAACTTAATACATCCCATAAAACATTTTAAAAAGTCAGAAATGAGTAACGATTAGACAGTAAAAGCACACTTTCAAAGCAGGTACTAGCAAGCAGCCAAGCAAGACATGCAGAACTCCTGCGTACATCTTGGTCACAAAGGAGCACGCATGCACACAGAGGAAACCAGTGTCAGACTGCAAGAGGGTCCAGAATTGAAACCACTGCAATTGGTGACAAGAATTCTGACTAAATCACATTGGCTATTCAGGTGACATTTTGTTTAAGACCACATAAAATATAAAGCCATGTTTTTGCATGATTGCCCATGTCATGTGTTAATACACAAAAAGTGTCGTACGTGGCTGTATAACATATCACACATGTATCAAAACATGAAAAAAAAAAAAAACTCCAGAAAACTGCTCAGGTCATATAATGATTCTACAAAATGAATAATAAAATAAGTAAAATAATTAGTATTAAATAGTAGTAACCTATTCTTCTGTATATCACTCATTGTCCCTAACAGTTGAAAAGATAATCAGTTTCTTCTGTCATGGGACATATGTTGTAAAGTGTATGATGGTCTGAAGAGAAGTTGGGCAAAAAGCACTGAAAATCTCCTAAATTTACCCCTTGCCTGAAAAGACCAGCCCCCATGTAGCAACACAACCTGCTTTTCTGGGCCAACAAGAATTTGCATCCCTAAACCATAATCTGTGTTTGATTGGAATATACCTCATAATGACCTTCTCTGACTGCCTCTTGCAAGGGTGTTATTTTTTCACTTGCTCGAACATCAACATCAGCTCCTGCTTTCAAAAGCTCGTTCGCTATCCTATAAAGACCTTCCACGCTTGCTTCATGAAGTGCAGTCCAGCCTATAAAAGAGGAAAACAGTCAAATGAAACCTGTATTTCAAATCTGGATAAAATACTTTGCAAAAATTATTAAATAGATGACCCTACAGTGCCAGCAGGATTTCAGAGATATATTAAAATGATAAAAATCGCTGGATTTTACAGTAAGTTGTATGAAGAAATGTGTTTCAAAAAGCTACAAGATCTCATCAGCTTTACGACCTGCGGAGTGATTCTACCCAGGAAGGTGGTACTGAGGAAAAATAAAAGATGAACTTTGAACTGGGTTGTGTTTAGCCCTGCATCAGCTACTTAAAGAGTCATTACATGACAGTGTTTTGTAGGGTGAGAAAAGCAAAAAAGACAGGAGACCTTCCAACTCACACCATGCAGTCCCAAACTAGCACACCCTGAAGAGCCACCTTCCTCTTCTACCATCTCCCATTACTGAAAGCTTGTACAGGCCTAACGCACATATTACATCTAGACTTTAATCTAGATTTACCAACCAATTTAAATACAGATCCATCTACTAAATATAGATTGCTTATTAAGACTGCTAAATAAAAATCTCTAATTCTCTCAGAAAGAGAAGCAAATTCCTGAGGCTCTCTCATTCATCTCCCAATCTAGAATAATGTATTTATGTACAGAATTCGATTTATTATGGGCAAAGTACACTGCATCAGATTGTCAAAAACTTAACACTATAAGGTGCTGCTCTTCATCTGAAATTCAGATGTTTAATTATACTGTCTAATGTTGATAGTGCTTCAATACGAATATGTTTAACTGTATCATCTATAGAATATTTTACTTATACTTTATAATGCCTTACAACTACTACATTAATAAAATCTAATAATTTCACATTTTGAAACAAAAGTCTGAAATCGTGTAAGGAGAAGAGAAAGAAATTTCACTTGAGTGAAGATGCCTATTTTTCTCCCACTAAATATTATGCTGTATCCCGATACTATAATGAGCCTCTGAAAGATTGCAGTTAGCTCATGTTTAATAGATAATCATTAGAGTTTAGCAATAGGATTCTCTAAGGACTCTGTGCATGTTGTAGACAAAAAGCAGATTTTTCTTTGCAATGACTTTTCCAGCTCCCTCCAGACACTCTGAATCAATACTCAAAATGAGAGCACGTAGATTCTCTCTGTATAACCCTTGTACTAATACCCAGGCAGTGAGAGGACGAAGAAAAAGAAATCAAACACACAGGAATTCAGAAAGGTACTGAAGCAGTGCACTGAGGCAGATGAAAAGAAAAAGACTCGTGTAAGATATGGATAATTGCCAGGGAAGGGTATTAAAGGAAGAAATAGGGCACAGTGACAGAATATAACCATTTGAGTAGTTATTCCCAGCCCATGAGATGAAAGCACGTTTCAGAATAGCACAGGTCTAGCAACTCCTTTCTGTTTACACCCCCTTCACCAGAGCAGAAAGGAGGAGGGTCAGGTCAGCCTCTCATCTCTCAAACGGTTCACTTAAAGCACGTTTTATGCAGTTGTGTTCCTTTCACACCAGAGGAACCAGTGGCCAGAGTCTGAAGGAATGAAGAAACAGGAGTTCAGCAAAAGATGCAAAAGGAGAATAAGGAAGCAGGAGAGAGGTCAAAACCTACAAGCAGTGCCCTTCAGTGCACTTGCCTGCAAAGCCTGCAGCTGCACCCGTGGTACCAACATTGCTCTGCTGTCAGCAGATGGCTTCAAAACCCACAACCAAAACCTGTTTCACATTTACCTCTAGCACTGAGGTCACTGCAAGCTCAACCAGTGAAGCCCGAACTTGTAAAGTCTGAATTCTACCAACCTGTAGGCCGGTATGGTTCAGAAGACAGAATTTCTAACTTAATTTCGGTTGGTCATAGTCATGCCTCATGCAATAATTAACTGCACATCTCTATTTATTCTTTTTTTCCTCTCTATTCCCACAAAATAGTTGTGAAGTCTTCAGCCACTGCGTGAGACAAAAACTTTCTAGGAATGAATCAAAGTTTTCTACCAAATGAGGCAACTGATACCTCAGGAAAGGTATTGTTTTTGCCACAGAGGATCACATATCAAGCTGGATATGGTCAACAGTTGAAAATGTGCACAGCTGGCCACTGCTTGTCATTCTTTTCTTTGTGCCCAGCATTAACCAAAATAGAAAACATCATGCATCCACAAATTAAATGAATTAAAGTAGTTCTAAGCTATGCACCTATGACTTTGTTGAAGATGCAAGAGGCATCTAATCCTTGGAATCCCATGCTAGCCACTGAAATGAACAAATGAAAAAAAAATGTGGAAAGCATTTCATTGATTGCATAATTAAGGAACTATTACATGACGAGCACACACAGGTTGTCGAACTAAGGCTAAGTCAATTTAATGTCAGCATTTCTTAAGTTTCCAAGTACTTAATTTTTAAGGACTTCTTTTCTCTTCTAATATACTTTCATATATAGCATCTATATGTTTCCTTATGAACAGTTATCACATTAATTTCTAAAAACCAGAACTTTAATAGTCTACTATCCAGCCAAAAAATATAGTATCCTCATTGTATGCCATTAAAATTTGTAATATGCACATTTATTACTTATATCTAAATATTTGTTTTGAAAATAGATTATTTTTAACTACAATTGCAACTTACCCCCATAGTCCTGAACATTTACATTGGCACCAGACTTTATTATATCACGCACAAGGTCTATATCTTTATCAGCAACAGCTTTATGCAGTAAGGTCTCTCCAAAAATATTCTTCCTATTTATTCTGCATCGTGGAATGGGTAAAATAGGATTTATCAAATTCCTAATAGAAGCCTCAAGTCCTGAAAAAAAAATTAAAAGGTCTAGAATTATCTTTCTACTTTTACTCCGTCTTTAGTTTTGCTTTTAAGTTAGTTCATCTTTTTGGAGGGGGAAAAAATGCTCATTTAGTTTAATGGAAATTAATATATCAAAAGAGATGTTACCAATTAAACAATAATCTCTTTCAATAGAACACATATTTTACCATGAATTCTGTAACAAAAATACAGCTGAAGTTCAGCACACAAGAACAAGGCTTGAAAACACGTATTAAGTTTAGACTTTTTAATGACATTTTTGCAAAGTGCATTGTTTCCAATTGGTTGATAAAATTGCTGTTGTAGGTTACAATTCTTTGCAAGATGAGTATTTCAATAGCTATTCAGCTATTTAATAATTTCCTTTTTCTTAAAACCATATTTATCAGCAATTCATTTGTACTCACTTATGTTTTAAAGCCTCTGCCATACAAGCAGGGAGGATTTACATCACGGTAGTGAAGGAGATTAGCTCCCTCAGACTACCTTACCTCATCCCTTTGCTTCACCAGCAGCTAAGTTAGGGGTGTAACAGGAAAAAAAGTGAATAATTGGGACAAAACCCTCTCTAGCTATCCCTAGATATCTGTAAATTACCCTGCCATGGGGTCGGAGGCTTGGACACTGATACGCATATATAACAAATACTTTAATGATTAATTTATTATCTTACAAACCTAAATGTTTCTTTGCATCCATTACAGTTTTCAACTTTGGTGAACTGCTATCTGCTCTACAGAGAACCTGTCCCACACTTTATCAGCAGAGCACCACCCAGCATCTCCTCACCCTATGGAGAAGAGCATCTGCACTCCGCCTCTTCCGGAAAACAAGGAGGGAAGGAGGCAGGCAGGGACAGAGGGCTTGCAGGAACACACAGCACATGTCTCAGGCACTGTGTGGATCTATTAGCTAAAAATCTAGGGTTCAGGAGGACAGCAGGCTGCATTCACTGCTCTTCTCCACCATCAGCAGCAGATGTAGCCCACTGGCCCTCAAACTCTACCAGGCGGCAGGCACAGACATATTTATTGTTTTAAGCAGTATGTGAAAAACACGTCCTTCAGGTGCAGCTGGAACTCACCAGGCCTCCTGTCTCTACTGCTTTGCACATCATGATAAGACTCTTGAGTTCAGAATAAATCATTCCCAACATTAACTGTTTGGTCGCGTGTAGCTTTTGGGCAACAAGTTGGTATGGACTTACTTAGCCCCTTCTCAGCTGAGCACGTGGATAGTATTTCTCTGCTCCCTGTCTAGTAAAGACCTTAATCATCCATGATACTACAGTCCCCAATAAAAACTGGCTGCAAGGAGCCAGATGGCTCAGGAAGTCCAAAACCACACAGATAAAAGCAGAACAAGGGGCCAGTTTTTCTATTACACTTAATCTGGTCTGATTCCACACTTTAAGTTAAAGAGGCCTTACTCCCTGTCACCTCCACCCTGCCTTCCCTGAGTCAGATGCAGGCATTGTGCAAAACAAGTCGTGCCTGCTGATCCAAAGACACTTTGTGGGGCTGTTTTGCTGGCGAATTACCAAGTGAAGCTGATTCACAGCACTAGGCCTGCTGCAAAACGGAGGTAACCATGTTAGGTGGGATTAGCATGAAGCTGCCTCTATAAGCTCATTCCTTCTGTAGAAATCACGCTAAAAACACCAACAGCCTGTTTTCCAAGTGGAAATTACTCATTTGAAATATAGGACTAGTTAGTCATTCAACCTTGAATCTCATAAAAAATGGTGCTTCCACTGGGAATAATGAAAATGCTGTAAAAGAGAAGGGTTGCTAAATGGTAGTGGAATTATTCATATTTTATAAGGTCTGTAAAATAACTGTAACAGTTCAAATACTTCCAAATTTTGTTAGTTGTTTAAATGCTATAGGTGCATTGATAAAACCAAATTGAAAGGGCTTAAAGGAAAAAAAAAACTTTGAAGATTATTCTCTTAAAGAAAGGCTGCCTCTGGAATGAGCACATGAATGAATTCTGTATTCTCCCACACGCTTCCTGGGTAAGCCAGAGAATTTCTTTGCTTGCCAGATCATCTTTGAAAGATGAAAAATAGCAATCTTTTTCTCTGACAAAGCATGTTGGAAGGAAGAACACTTCAAAGAGTGCTTAGTGACTGTGGTAGTGAAGGCCCTATATTTAAACACAAACAGAATAACAACAGGCATTTAAAATAGAATAATTTGCTTTGTATAGATCAATTCCTGAGGGTGGCATTGCCTTCAAAAAGGCATTGCACCAAGAATATTATATTACAGTATCAAGATCTACAACTTCATCCCGTATGAATATATTTTTACTTTTGCTTTTCAGAATACACCGTAAAATTTTAATTTATTATTATGTGATAAAAAATGCATCCTGAAAAGTTTCTCATGGTTCAAGTTTATCTCTGCCAGTCAACTGTTAACATGTACATACAAGCAAGAAAACTGTGTAAATTGACAATAATTTATCAAAAATAAAAAATGCTTATGGTATCTTTTAAAAATAAATACATGTCACAATATATTGAAAAAGCTATGAATTATATTTGATTCAGTACACTTGCTCAAATAAATATATATATATTTATCAAAGAACATCTTACTCATTTTGGTTTTGATTCTTTTACTTCTCCTTGTTTGCTCAGTATTTTTATTCTCATTCAGAATTATCATCTTTTGACATACGTTGGTTTCTAGATCCTGCTTGGCATTAGACTTCTGATTTTTTCTGACAAGAGATTTGGTTTAGAATCAACAAAAATATTATCTTCTCTATATACAGCAAATCAAGGTTTATACTACAGCTAAAATGTAAACACATTTAATCTTAAAGCAACATTTATAATAATAAATACAGTATATTTGCTAACTTTGACAGCACTGAAAAGGAGGCAAATTAGGGCAGAAACTGCTTCTCAGATCTGCAAGTAAAATGTTAACCTTTACCTTTTGATCATTTAAAATCATTAACATGAAGAATGAGCAGGCAGCATCACATTTGTTAAATTAATACAAGTAGGAAATTAAAAATATTATGCATAATTTTGTCATACTCAAAATCCTTAGCTTTGTTTCTGGTTGTGTTGCCACTGTTAGAAGTCCTCTGAGGTATTTGGTGACAACTGGAATCACGACTTCTGCATTTTCTTGAAGAGGTCCCTCGTAACTGCTTGGCTCTCCCTGATGTTGCTTTGGTAGTTTCTGCACACAAATTGGGTTCCACCAAATATGAAATTCCCTCCCCAGCAGGTTTTTCATACACGTTGCCACACCAATAACCTGAAATTGCTTCTTTCTCTCTCTGCTGATCATCTACAAACTGGGGCAAAAAAAACAACAACAACAACCAAAAAAAAAAAAAGTTACCTGCAAACAAACTATTAAAAGAACAGCTCTATAAATATGAAGGGCTCATATGAAGCACATCTTCTTATAAATTACATATGTGCTCATGGCCAATGGAAGAAAACAGAGAGAACAGAGGGGCTACTTAATTAGTAACTGGAATTATACAGATACCACAGACAAGTTTTCAGAGAGGATCCTGAAGCACTGCCACATCATGCAGCACTGGGAGAATGAGCCAAGGAGAGTAAGATACTCAGAATCAAAACACAAATAATAAATCTAGCATGGCTGTTAGTGAACAAAAATGTTATCTGAAAGCTGCTTACTTGGATGTGTGAAATAACAGGTTCATTTCAGTTCCCTACAGACATGAGCTCCTGTCCTGAAAAACTGTGATGTGCAAGATGCCTTAAGCTAGCCAGTTTATTCCAGTCTTGCGCAAGTCTGGAAATGTGCCCAAGGGTCAGGAACAGTATTTCGAAAATTATTAATCAAAAAGAGATTATGGATCCCATTCTCCAAAGACCCTGACTCAAAATCTTAACTGCTACCTTAAGTAGATCTATATACTAAGCTCCACAATCTGTGCTACTTATTTCAGAAAACTACACTTCAGTGAAGCAAGCTTTACAAGTGGCTACGGTTCTGGGCTTTCGGCAACCTGATATTAGCTACCTTTGCAGAACATATTCTTACACATTGTGATATTCAATTAATGTATCCAATAAAAGACTGAATTAATCAATATTTTTGAGTGCTTTATGCCACTCAGTTGAAGAAAAGTGGCTGTAAAACCACCCTAACTAGATACACTGGTTTATTGTTGATTTACAACACCAGATTACGAAAAGATAAAGCAGAGCAGAGGACCTGACTCCAGCTTCACAAGGGATATCTACTGCGCTCCATCACATAAGCATGTAAGTCTTTCCTTCATGATAGCCTGAACAGGAACAGCTTTTAATGTTGTTTTCACACATCCCTCTAGACTTCTGCACTCATTGTGTTCAATTCCAACGACCTGTAGCAGACCATCTCTGCAGGACAAGGCATACGTTGTAAACAGCATATAAGGATAAGAGACAAAATAAAAAAGAGGGACCACAGCTTGTACCCATACAGACCAGCACTCTGAGTGGTGGACAAAAACAGAAAACCTAATCTACAGAATCTCGCAGGCAGAGCTAAATAACACAGACCCTGAACACTCCAAAATACATAAATAAAAGAACACTCATCAGCCCTGCTAGTCTATAGGGAAGACATGGCTATAAGTGGTTTTCCTAATATGTGTGTTTGTATGCCACAGGCGATGGGAGCTAAAGAAGCAAAAAACTTAGCGCACTATGGTATGGAAAAGTAAACAAAAGAGAATGGGGTAGGGAAAATATTGAAACTGGCTGGTTTATGCCCGTGTGCTACAAGGGCAAATCAGAATAGTGTTTTGGTACTTTCTTTGGAGAAGATGTGAGACATGCAGAAGGAATAGGAGTTTTTAAAATTTCTCTGCTAATTCTAGCCATGGCAGTCACCAAATAAAAACCACCCTCCCAAAAAAATTAGAAAAATTAAATATACTCGGATTTCCTATCCCAGCAAGCTCGGGTATTTTTATAAGAATATATCAAAAGAAAGAAAGAAAAAAGGAATTTTAAAATGAGAACAATGGGAAGATATTAAGATGTAACTTAATGTTACCAATTTGTTCTCTAGTGAGAATTACATCTTCCAGTGTTTTGACAATTCTATAAAATATTCTAAGATATGCATAACATACAAGATATACAGAAGGCATATGTACTTGCTCATTCATTGTCCTCTGCAAGTTAGATCCTGTTATGGCTTTTAGTTCTTCCAGCTGCAGTGTGGCAAGCTGAGGCTCACACATGTTAGTTAGGTGTGTGTAGTCATCATGCAGCTGGGGAACACGGGGCTCCGAATTTAGCTGCTCTTCCTCAGCACTAAGCTGCCTCTGGCTCGGCACTGCAGGTCCTGAGCAGGAGTTCAGAGCTGTCACCAGCTCGGCTGGCAGGGCATCGCTCTTCTCATCTGCTAGAGTATCGAAGGGTGACACATAACCCTGACACTCTAACAAGTCAAGCAAGGGGGCTATCATTTTAGGACTCTCTGAGCCACTGAGAGGTTTGAACAAATCACTGATTTCAAATTCACCCGTCACTGCACTCTGTTCAGAGAATACTTCCAGGAAAATCTTCCCTAAGGACGTCAATGAGAGATCAGTATCATTATTAAGGGAATGTTCTTTTACTGTGTTATCTGTGTCAGTAATGGTCATGTTCGTTCTCTGGCAATCTTCCAAAACCTGTGGAAATATCTCTTGCAGTGTCTGTTCTTTTGGAAACACTACTAGCTCCTCCAGAATTGCATCTAGACACAGGTTTGTTTCTGGAAACAGATGATCATCAGTTAATACCTCTGAAATCAACGTAAAAAAGAATAAAAAAAAAAAAAAAAAGGAACCTCACTTTCTAAAAAGCACATAATCAACATACTATGCAAATCATTAATATGCATACACAGTATTTACCATTTTTGAATAAAATGCAAGAACTTTAGGCCTTTACTAAAAATTCACAATTTTTTTTTAACAAGGGTTAGACTGGGGCATCAATTTCAAAAGCAAATCATTTCAGCTGTTGACTTCCCATGCAGTGAGAAACTCAAGAACACGACAGGCAAAGCATGTTATAAAGTCAAAGCTAGTAAGCTACTGACAATGACCTGAAATGTTAAGAGGTGTTAAAAATCTCTGCCCTCCCAAACCAGTGGAAGTGGACATCCTCACAACACAACAAGCAGTTAGTAAAACACAATATATTCTTTCAGTTCTGTTTATGTGTTGATGTGGATTCCAAGGTAGGAATCACTTCTGCCTCATAACCTTAAGCTCAAAATCTTTGGAGTATCTTTGGGGGCTGCATGTCTAAGTTTCCACACTGAGAACAGAAGCAAAAAAATCTAACTGTTCTTGGAAAAGTAACACTTCTGTTTTCTTCCTAATCACTTTGATCTGCTTTCTAGGAGATGCACCTTCTTTTATACTTTTTAATTTCTTATCCTTGTTTCAATCACTTCTGCTAGAGAAAATCAGACGCCTCCTCAAAACTAAAAAGCTTTTCCTGTATAAAGTGTATAACAGTGGTGCTGCTTAAGAGAATCTTAAAAGAGATTTCCTTTCAGTATATATTTTTAGGCTCTTGCTGCCAGCTAGTGGCAATGTTGTGCACTGCAAGATTTCTTTAACAGAGATAACAAATTTTGATAAAGCTCACATACAACAAAACAAAAAGGGCAGAAATCTGATGCTGTTGATTCACATTCAGTTTGCAAGCCATTATAAATCAGCAGTTTTCCATCTTGGGCTAACTGTTCCTTTTCCAGTATTGGGTCCTTTTTACTTTAATATATTGAACTACATTTTATCTTTGGATTATTTTCCCAATTTGTACAGACTTCAAAGGACTGAGGAAACAAAAAAAGAGCACTGGTATAAACCAGTGCTTCTTTTTTTTTCCTAAAAATAAGAGGAATAGATTAGAGGATTTGGGATTTTGTGTGTCTATTTATTTTAAAATTACCAATACTATAATGCATCGCTATCAGCTACAAGATAGCATAAAATTTGCTATACAGCTTTCAATATTTTCTTGGGGGAATTTTAGATGATGTTCTTTCCCCAACATTAACCTAACTACTCAAGCTCCTTGAAAAGATAAAAATAAAATTGATTTATACAGTACCTTTTTTAGGAACGAACCTATAGCAGTAAGCAAAACACTCATAATGCTATAGACTATCCTTTACATGGACTATTCAGCAGGTAATTACTCCGAGAAAGTGTTCTGCACTGCAATGTCAGAGTGGAAATGCTGGAACTGCATCCCTGCTGCCAGCTAAATGGAGCTTTCCTAGGAAGACACAGACGGCAGCGGCACTTACACGAGCCCGTAAGGGTTTCTCCTTCCTCCGGGACCCCTGCTGCTGCTCTCAGCAATGCTGCAGAAAAGCTCACAACTGAATTATGACATTGCAGTAGGCCATGGTATTGGCAAGTCCCTTTTTGCTGCAGAAACAGCCACAGAGCAAATTCCAATGATAGCTTCTTGTCCAGCAAAAATGGACCTTAAATGTGTGAACTGGGCAGAGATGAATTCAGATCAAAATCAAAAACCGCAACGGTGGCCTTGGGGCTCACAGCAGCTGTGGAATATGAACAATGCAGAAGTAGCAGAGTAGCTGTAAGGAGCATCATGGTTGCAAACAACAGCACACAGGCAGATAATACTGAGGCAAAGCCCAAGAATACTTAATAAAATGCTGCTCTACCGCTTGGAGATAGACCCTTCCAAGTCCCTCTCTGGTACTAGCTTCAAACCATGACTGTTGGAAGGAAACAGGGGAGAGGCAGTTAATGTCAGTAGTTGTGGAACCTTCAGCTCCTACTTAAATATTTCCTGAGTTGGGCGATTTACTTATTGATTTACCTTTATTTCAATTATTGATGGATTTACATCGTTGATTTTTTTCTTACTACCCCTTCTGCAAGCTACGGGGGATTCCCTCTCTCCTCCAAAGATTTCTTTGTGTGCATGCAGATAATTACCAAAATTATCAGTATTGTGAGTTATATTCATAACACTCAGGTTGTACTAAGATTATGTAAATTAGCCTTTCTACAGTTGCATCCTTCCATCTGCTTTTAACTGCACATTTGTGCATCTTCACTGTACTGACAGTTGCCTAATCTTCAGTTAAACCAGCTTGAGAAACAAGCTGGCAAAAAACTAAACCAACTAAAAAAAATGAACAGTGTCTCACAATCAGTTCCCCCAAGCCTATTTTATATTTTGTTTCAAATAGACCCAAAGGAAGCAGCAGAAACACAGGGCAAAGAAAATAAGCAGTACCATTCAACAGTCAATTAGATAGGCTTAGACTGTGGTGGAATTATCCTGGATTCAAAATCACTGAAAAAGGAAGCTGACATAAGGGGGGAAATGCAGCTCTGAAGCTCTTCCATAGCTTTTATGTGATCAGCAGTATAACTCATCGCTTGTAAGCAGCTCTAGGATTAGCAAAGAGAACAAATAGAGACTGGAACTACCTATTTTTGGCCACAAGTGACTCATCCACAAACAGAATGCAGTTACAAATACTCTGCTGCTCCTCAAAGATCTTCCTAATGTCTCTTCCATAATTTTCATTTGTTGGAAACATGCTGCCAGCTGTAGCTTCTTAGGAAAGCTGCCATTAGCTTAAGGCATAGCTCTTATGGATTCTGTCTCACTACAGTATCTTTCATATTTCTTAATTATTGTACCTCTCCTACACTTGTATTCAATGAGCTTGCTAAGTGCGGTTCTGACCCAAAGAGCAAAAGGCTGAATGAGACTTAGGTGAAACAAGGTAAAAAACTAACCTGATGTACCTGATGTACATTATAGGTTTTGACAGCTATACATCTGCGTTTCAAAATGTCAGAATGTATTATCTTTCAGTAAAACATTCTCCAGTACTAATTCAATCAAATGATATTTTATGTGCATTCAGTTATGAAAACACACTAACCTTTTCCTCTGAATCTTTCAGAAATCCAACCACTTTGGTATTTAAATCTAGGATGTAAACAAATATTTCAGTTGTACTGTCACTGAATTTCACTTTTGAAAGTTCTCATCTTCTCTAATTAAATGACCTTCCTGATAAATGCTCAAGTTTCAAATACTCTTAAAAACAACTGCACACAAGCTCTCTGACAAGAACTCACAACAAGTTCTCTATGTAGGCTCTATTAATCACCAAATTACATTCTTGAGTCACTTTGTCACATTTCTTAGCTGGAGTTTGGAGGCCTGTATTTCCAAAGACTATCATGCAATTGGAATTACCACCCATTTCAGAGGGCGAGGCCTGCTCCCTGCGCTCCCTAATTACCATGCAATTAGCCTACACATCGGAGCCGATGTAACAATTTACAAAATGGGCTCAAATGGGCTGGCCCCACACTCCCTGCTCCCATCATCTTACTTTAATACATTCATGAGAGTTTCTGGGAAACTATTTTATTTTCCTGGAGGAAAAAAAAAAAAGAAGAAGAAAAGTAATTATCTACTAGGAGAGCAGAAATGTGTCCTACAGAAGAAGCAATACATGAGGTAGAACTACCTTGCTGGGAGCAGGTATGAATGGGAGCCCAACTGAAGCAGCAGCAGGGCATTACATTACAGCCCAATTTGGGGAAGGTCTGGTAAAAGTTTTACTTCTCTCCGGAGTATCTTTGATTCAGGGGAATGTCAGTAACAAGCACGTTGTGAGACCCCAACGACTGTTACTCACATTCTTGCTTTCCTTACATAAGGCATTGGGCACCCCTCAGCCTGTAACTTTCACCAGAAAATTCCACAGCAATGGAACAATTTTAATTTGGCACCAATACTCTGGCAAAGCAGTTACTACTTCACAGAATTCTAACACAATACTTGCAAAGAACATACCTTGCATTCCAAAGCAACTATGAAAAACTGTTGTAAAGGCCACATATAGTGAAATTCCAAATAAATCTATGTGGATACTCATCTTCAGCGTCTCATATGATTCTTCCATTTAGAACAACTTTGAGTTTTGTATAAAATAAAACATACCTACAGAATTATTTGGCTGGCTCCCTACTGCAGTGTTCAGTGAATAAGGAGGATCAGGAATATTTTCAGAAACTGACAGACAGTTTATCCAACCCCTATGATTGAATAATACAATAAAAAGGTTCAGAAAGAATTTCAATCTGGTCACCTTATAAAAAAAATTTTACAGTAGTTAAGATTTATGCAGATTTGTACTTACAATGATTTGTAAGACCGAGTCATTTTAGAGGTGTGCACGTGCAATGCAGGACATGCAGTACCTAAGACTTCCAGATTTTCTATGTTGAGCTAGCCATCCTTTTTTTAATACTTATTTCTATTTCTTCTATTTTAAATTCTCTTTCTATTGAAATCCTTCCATGTTCTTTTTTGACAAAGAAGTCTAATCTCTCTATTATAAATTCTTGGATAAAAAATTTCCCTGAGCAGTCTAAGGGAATATCTTTATGTGATAGCATCAATAAGAAAAAATGCCGAAACAGTTGGACCCATACTGGATACAGAACTACCCCTTGCATAAACACACATCCTTTTCTAAGCAAGCAAGAGAACTGCTTCAGAGCAGAGTACTGGAAATAAAAGATTGTTTAATTAGAGTAGGACCGAAGAGAATGTATTTGTAACACACTATACTCACTGCAGTAGAGACTGAGATTGGTCAGATTCATTTGTTTCCTGAGGCACCTGCTTTGAAAAAAATATAATTAACAGCTTAGTAAAACAAAGTATTTTCCAAATTATTTTCTCAGCGTTACCATGTGCTGCTTCTTTGGGTAAGTTTTTGGAAAATTGAATTTTTAGATCAGATCTTTGTATACTTAGCTGTATACACATTAAAGCCATTCCGATTAAGTATTTATTTTTATTTGCAAAAACTTCAGAAGATAAATCAAGATTATGAAGAGAATCCAAAATGAAAATATTACATATTTATGATTATATAATATATACTATATAATTATGATAGGATTGCTTAACGCTTTAGTTGTTTTATATATCAAAGACCAAAATACAAGTTAGGTTTATTTCAGCTCCCAGTTTGACCTTTTCTTGATATCATTTCCTCTTTCAATCAACAACATGGGATGCTTTCTTGGTGACTGAGGATTTACAAGTAGATGGCTTGCGATTTCAAACAATTACTGACTTACAGAGGGAAACATGTGCAGAACTTTGAAAATATGGGCAAAGAACATCTTGGTGTGGGCATGAAATGATAACTTACTTGCGTGCATGTTGTTGTATAGCTAGTAGCCAATAACAACCATTTTAATAACGATCTGAAGAACAGCAGGTAGAAATTGCCCAGTAGGAATGACTGCTAAAAGGCTCCATGGAACAGATTATTTAGAAACAGCTTGTGCAACACTAATTGACTGATTTTATTCCAAAATACAGCAATGAAATGGTTGGCAAGAAGTCAGTGACTGCAAAATATACCCTTTGTATGAATCAACACGGATGTGTACACAGAACCTTACCCAGAGACCAGCTGAGGTCAGGAGGATAGCAGTGGAACTAATAACTCCCTTTGCCAAGGTAATGTTGCTCAGAGACTTTTAAAGCTCAATGGGCTACATTTGCACCTCAGGAGAAGGAGGGGATATATGCTCCGTTAAAATACTGGGCTCTGAGGAAAAGCAGTGAGTCACCCATACCAACAGACTAATCGAGGGGGGTTCTCAAGACATAAAGGTTATAAAAATACCATTTGTGGTCACCGACAGGAAGTAATGGGAACAGCCATTCCAATTCCAATGGGAACAGCCAATAGAATTCCTGCAAACCTGAACACCTCAACTGATTTTTCCCACTTAAGCATTTTTTCAGCCAACTACCTGAGGCTATTCTGGTTGTGTTCCAAAAAAAAGACCCAATTTTAAAGTTGCATGTGCCACCCAACACCTTAGGAGCACTTCACCCAAACAGGCAAGGGGAGACGGTTAAAAAAAAAAAAAAAAAAAAAAAAAAAAAAAAAAAAAAAAAAAAAGGCACAAGTTTACAGGCATAAGGCCAGATTATATAAACCCTGGAATACAATATTAATGGAGACAACTTGACTGGTTAGTTAGAAAGGACCCAGAGGCTACAAACTCTCTCATTTGTATATATATAATAGGTCTGCTGCATCTCTGGTGGAAGAAAGTCTTATTGACATTCTTCTACATGGCAGAATCTAAATTAGGCCTCCAAATCTCAATCCTCACAACCCACTTCAAGAAAAAGCAGGCCAGGGCTCCTCAGAAGCAGAACTGATGTTACGTTTTCTGAAGAAATTCACAGCCACTCTGGGCTGCATGATCCTCACATTATATCAAGACATCATATTCATGTAAGATGATTTCTGAGAATGCAGCAAGAGAACAAGGGACCTCCTTCCATGTCAGCTCTCAGAGTGCTTGAGCAGCCACACTGCTGCCATCTCATTATGCCAGTATCCACAACAACAGGCCAGTTTCTTCACAGCTTTCAGTAAGAGTTAAATCAGATGCTGGCCCTACACTGTGGACGAGCAAGCTGTCCTTGGCTTCACTTATAGCCCTGACAAAAAAAAAAAAAAAAAAGTGAGAGTTACCCAAGCTATTTGGTGGAAAGTACAAGGGAACTCTCTGTTTTTCAGCTTTCTGAGGAAAAAGAATATCATCCTCTCTAGACTTGGGAGAAGAATTCCTTTGAGCTTATAGTGATACCAAGTTAACTGGACTATGCACTGGCTAATTGATGACAGCCATGAAGCCAAGGATTTAGCTCTGTTAGTAGATGGTCAGATCTGTTACCAGAGAAGAAAGCAAACGGCCACTCTCCTCCTTCCCATGCAGAGAGACATTTTATTCAGCATTTCATATTACTCTTGGTTTCTTTTTCAAATATTTAGTCCTCCAAATATCACATCTAACCTTGGAATTACCAAGGGTGTATTCTGGCATCACTGATCAAGATGGTTATCTTTTACCTGTTGAAGGAAATATATTACATAAAAATTACATATAACAAGATTTTGCAACATAGTATCTTGCATGTATTATCTTGTTATTACGCTAAGATTTCTTCATCTTTGTCATAGGTTTGTCATTCCTCAAAATTTAAAGCTCATACGAAGCAAAAGACTTCAGCACCTTCCTGCAGAGAACCTGGCAACCATCCTCCCACAAAATCCACTTTAGCAGTAAGTCACTAGGTTATTTTGTGCATAAAGAATGGGGCACTCAATGATTGTATTAATTATTAGTAGCTATGTTTATGTAGCAGAAGGCTTACTGTTACTTTACATACTGGATTTATCTGATTTTCTTCCTTCAAAGTATATGGATCATCACGAAATTTATGCATAAAACCAATCTCTGGAGAGGTGCCTCCTAAGGAAAGGAAGAAAAAAAAAATAAATAAACAAAAAACACAGGAGGAAAAGTAACTAAAGACAGACTAAAGGCCGTTTTACTCTCTTACAGTTCCATAAATTTCTACATACCACATTAACCAGCTAGATGAAAAAAATTGTATCACCTAGCATTCTGAAATTCTTCCCAAGTCCATATTAGAACTGACACTCTTCCTGAGTCCATATTAGAAAGTAACTCTTCTCTCCCCTTTTTTTTTTTTTTTTTTTTTTTAAATTAAGAACAGGAATTCTAGTAAGCTGCTCAATCCGTTTAACTAAAAAAAGGAGAAATCTTTACGTTTGGACCTTTAGGTTTCAAAACTGCATTATTGTTATTGGCATCAACAAAACACTCAACAAATTAACCTTTGGAGTAGGTCATTCTCATCATCACAGTGCGACAGCACAAGCATGCATTAATGTATGCTGTGTGCATAATGAAATGTTAGCTCTAATAAACTAAATATAAAATACCATAAGTGGAACGTGAAAAATACCATTAGTAAACTATTAAATTTACAAAGACAAAAAACAACCAAACAAAAATCTTCTCAGCAACATAACAGTGAGTCAAATAAACATGCTTTAAATGGAATGCTGCCATGTTTTAATTTCAGTGGATGAGCATAAGTCAGTTCAGAAGTGGATGGTTTCCTCCACAGGCAAAACTAGGGAGGGACCATGGAAAGTTCAGCATCAGGCGTGACAGCAAAGTAAAGATTTTCATACATTTCAAAGAGCTTTGGAGAGGATTTTCACTGCCTCGGAGCAGGCTGATGTAAAACGGTAGTTTTGAATCCACTCAGGTCTGTGGACCTTGGTATGGCAAACTAACCAAAAATCTTGACCAGCACTAAGAATACCTTGTGTCACAGAGCAGGCAGGCAAAGTTTGCCTTGCCAGAACAAAATACCTGGCACACAAATAAGAAACGCTATATAAAGAAGCCAAGGAGGTATCTGTAAAAATATTTGCAACTACTACACACTTGTTTGTTTATGAAACCTACTTTTAAGAGAACTATTTGAGAAGATTTTATGGTTTAACAAATGAATAGACACTACACTTAAAATAATGCCCTCAAATACACTTACCTAAATGCTGCACATTGCACTTAAAGAGAGCAGATATATGTGACAATACTGAAGTTATTTCAATACTGTATGCTAGTTAAGTTTCACATGTTAAATTAAAATGTTATGGACTCAAGCAACATCCAGAGAAAAGCACACAGAAAAAAAGCAACACAGACCTAAACAGGAAACTCTTACCTTCAGCAATTCTTACTTCAGTTGACACATCCTTGTTTAAAAAAGATAACCTTTATTAAAAAAAAAAAAAAAGAGTAAAAATAAGAAAAGCAACTCCCAAGCAGCTGTATTATCTTATCAACTCTGCAAGCTCCAAGGGCAGTTTAGACCAACGTCGCTTCCTTGGACATCTGCTAAGCTCACACTAACTGAGGACACCTCTAACACCAACATCGATTTTAAAGCATCCCCAAAGTGAAAAAATTCACCTGATCTTGTAAACCAGCGAGGAGGCCTCAAGCAGGGAAGCACACTGCTGCTTTACACATCCTCGGCCTGTGCTAAAGCACAAATACAGACCAAATAAAAAGTGAAACTGCTGGGCGGGCTCAACACTGCAGGAGTGCTGAGGAAAACACCATGAGCTCCCTGAAACGACGCCTCCAAGGGAGAAGAGGTCATCTTGCCTGATGATATTTTATTTGTATTTTCTCTGGTCAGGATTCTGGCGTGCCTAGCTTACACTGACAGAAATATTATTCTGCAGGGTATAAATGTAGCGGATGTACACACAACCAAATTCCATTTTCAGGGCTGGCGTCAATTTGAACATTAAGAAAAATGTTAATTTTTGTGTAAAACACAAAACACCCTAACACACACACACACACAAGGAAAATACGTATTTGTGGAATATGTATTTTTCTCCCCGGCCAGCGCGGGGGTTTGGGGACGATGCAGGGACGGGGCAGCCGGCGGCGGGCGCCGCCTCAGCGCAGCCCGGGGAGCGCGGCGTCTCGCCGGGCCCGCCGTGCCTGCCCGGCCCCGCGCCCCTCGTCACCTCCTGCTCTGCAGCTCCTCTCCCTCCACGTCGCTCTCCAGCACCGAGCCCTCCACCACAGTCTCATCGCTATCGCTGCCCCCATCGCCGCCCCGCTCCCCCATGGCGGCGTCGCCGCGATCCCCTCAGGAGGGCGCCGCCGCCCGGCCCCGCCCCCAACGGCCCCCGGGCGCGCGCGCTCCGCCCTGGCGGCCATTTTGTGAGCGCCGCCGCGCGCCGGCCCCATCTCCTGCTCGTGGAGATGAGGCAGGAGCGGCTACAACACGCGCGAGGGGAGCGTGGCGGCCGGGAAGAAACCAAAGGCAGCTCCGCCTTGGGAGCCCTGTTGGAAAGGATAGCGCTGGCCATGGGTGACAGTTGTGGCTGCCGCTGCCTCATGGCGGCCCTGTGCCGCGCAAATGCCTGTGGCAGGGCATCGTGCCTCTGGCCTGTCTCACCTGTGCATCTCCATCCACGTTGTGCCTGTTTCCTAACCCGTGCGCTGCCAAGACCACGTTGAAGACGCTAACTTCCCCAAGCACGATGCGTGCTTCATGTGTCACATGAGGAATGCGTTGGGCAACCAGTTTAACTGCCAGTATTTGTAGAGTATTGGCAATATTTGTCGTGGATCTAATGCTGTGGTGCGTCTGTTGAAAATGCAGTGCTGTTTTCGCTGAAGAAAAACGTGATTCTGCCTCAGCTTTGCCTTCCACCTCTCCCAGCCGTAACGGTGCAGCTCCCATGGCCACTCGCAGCAGTGGCAGGAGCTGTAGGCAGGCTACGGAGAGAAGCGCTAATACCAAAACAGCTTACAACAGAAAGATTTCTCATCTATTCACACAAAAACAATTCCAAATCATAGTAATGATTGCTGTTCTCAGGAAATTTGATGATTAAATTAGCATTTTTATCACTTGCCAAATTAGCCTTATCACAGAATATTCCAGAAAAAAAAAATCCCAAACTACTTGGCAGAGAGGATGGAAAAGGTAGCAAGATATTAATGGTCACATTCAATTATACACCAATTATATATTAGATGTACTAGCAACTGTGCACAAATTGCTATTTTGCTCTGACTTGGTCATATCCCAGAGCAATTACAGAAATTGCTGTGTGTATCATCAAATTACTGGAGAAAAAAAAACAGCATCCTAGGAATCTTTTCCCCTTTTCAGGTAATGAAAGGATATCTGAGAAGACAGGAGTGTTAAGAAGATAGTAGGGAGAAAAAATAATAAAAAAAAGGCAGTAGTAAGTCATCAGGATTTAGACTTGTCACTTTGAAGATGTGAGAAGTATTTTGCCACAATAAATAACAGAAGTAGCATGAAAAAAAATCTCATTGATACCATGTACTTTTCTGGAGTTCTCTGGAAAGCTATTTTAATCAGCTTATCCCTGCTTGAGGATTACATTTACGTTTTACAACATGGTGAAGGTACTTCGAGTATTTCTGAGCAAAATGGCACATGTAAGAAACAGTTTTGGAACAGCTGGCGTATAAATTATCTTCAGCAAAATCCTGTCAGATTATATTTTGTTAGCATTTAAACTTGCTTGCCTAGATCTTGTTCAGAGCTGGCAACACAAAGTGGGAGCAATTAATTGCAGCTAAGAGCAGCATGTTGCATGTGATACCTGGCAGGCAACGCTTACCAAAGAGACCAAGGAGCCTCAATGCCGGGAACACTCACGTGCAAAGCCAGATCAAAGAAAGAACGCCCTATCTGGGCCAAAGCCACAAGACCCAGTGGGCTGTGCTCAGGTCGGCTGCGTTGTTGAACGCCAGGGGATCCCAGTGATTTCCACAGGCTGTTAATCACACCGGCCATTCTAACGAGGCAGTGAAGCGCACCCATCTGCTCACTACCGGTGCACAGGGTGGGTGGACATCACCGCGTGCAAATGATGCTCTGGGACAACCCAGGCTTAAAGCCGGTGCCCTGCCCTGCCCTGCCGCGCTCAGCGCCGGCCTGCGCGGGAGGCGACGCGGAGCCGAGCCGAGGCAGAGCGGGGCCGAGGCGGCCGAAGCTGCCGGTGCGCGGGGACGCCGGGACTCCGTGCCTTGGGCGGCGGGGGCTGCTTGCTTGCGCGCGCCCGCCCGCACCGCGCACTTAGGGCGCGGCCGGACTCTCGGGCCATCAGCATATGCAAATAAGCCGCCTGCCGCCGCCCAATCAGAAGAGAGGGCGAGGGCAGCGCGGCGGCCCATTGGCGGGCCGCCCATGGCGAGATGGCGTGTTCCCCGCTCCTGATCGCGCCGCGCGCCGTTGCCCCGGCGACGCGGCGAGTGACGCGCCATGGGCAGGGCGTGCCGCGGCGTCGCCATTGGCTGCGCGGTGGGGCGACGGCGGCGCCGGGGCTGTGGCGCCCCGTGTCCTTGCGCCGCCGGGAGCCGCCGCGTCACTCTGCGGCGCGGCGGGAAGGAGGAAGGCACCGGCACCGATACCGGCCGCGGGCCGCCACGCCGCGCGAGCGCCGCCACGGTGAGCGGCCGCCGCGGGCAGCGCGACACGGCGCCCTGGCGGCGGCGGAGGCCGGTGGGGCGCGGCGGGCGCGACCGTTAGCGCTGCGCGTTTCCGCGGAAACGGCGCGGGGCGGGGGGCGGCCGTTACCGTTACCACCGTCCTCGCCGCTGCCCTGGCAGCGCTGCGGGCCCGCGGCCCTGAGCCGCGCCCTCGGGCGGGCGGGGAAGGTCAGGCCGCAGTCCTGGGGCCTTCCCAAGGCCGCCGGCGGCCGCGGCACCTGCCCGGAGCGGCGGCGCTGGCGGCAGGGCGAGGCTGCGCTCCGCTCCGCTCCGCCGAGCGTGGCGCGGGCGGCGCCCTGCGCGGGCGGGCGAGGGTCTCCGCGGTGCCCGGCAGGCAGCTCGAGGAGGTGCCCGCGTCCTGACGTGTGCATGTATTAAAATTGTTTATATGTGGTTTTTCTTTCCTCGGCCTTGATCTGGCCAGCGCTTCGCTCGTTTACTTGCCGCCGAGCTCCTTCATCAGCTGTAGCTACTGCTGAGTCAGGCAAGGCGGGATGGGAAGTCGGTGCTGCTCTTCCAAAGGGCATCGCGCAGGATGGCGCGGAGGCGAGGCCGGGCGGCAGACCCGGGCTGCTTGCGCCAACAGCCATGTAGCCCAGTGCCTGATCGGAGCGCCAAACCGTTACAAACAACCTGCCTGGTTGGTTGGCTTTTCATGCTCCGGTCCAAAGATTGTTTGTTTGTTTGTTTGTTCTTGCTTTCTAGACTTAATTGCTGTGCTTACCATCTACCTGGCAATGTTTGACTGTGCAAGGAAGGTGGATGGGAAGCGGATAGGACCGATTTCTTTGGAGCCACCATTTTGAAATTCAACAAAATAATGATACAATTTAGCTTCATTTTTAAAGATACGTTTTGCTAATTTGAAGCTATAAGCCAGGTTTACCAAGGAATATTATTAGGAGGATTACAAATGAAAACATAAGTTTTTGGATTCTTGAGTTTTTAGCAGTACCCTGTAGTGCAGCATTTATATAGATCTGTGTATGGAGTCTTCCTTTAAGGTCTTCTAGAATGTCAGCTATATAATAAATTAAAGTAGCAGTCATTGAAGATGAGGGCTTCAAACAGACTTTTAGATTAGGAATTGCTGCTAGTCCATGGAGCCTATGATCAGCAGTGAGATACTCTCTGTTTTTATATACTGATATCAGCAATTAATTATAAAAATATTGGCCAGTAATATTTGTGATAGTTCTTTTCATAATTATATGAATGCATTTTTCCATCATTTTTTGGGGGAAGGCATTTTACTCTCTTAACACAGAAATTCTGTGTTGCTTATAGATGTCAAAAGTAAATATCTGAGGAAAGATTTGAAATCTTCGTAAATCTAATACCATTTTTTTATTGGCCAGGATAAAATTCTGATAGTTGAAATCACTAGGTATGTCATTATTAATTTGGGAACTAGTAGGATTTTGTATGCTCAGGTGGCAAGTGCAAATTCTGATTTGTCTGGAGAAAGGTATCTTTTCAGAACATTAGTAATTTCTATCCCTAGGCTATTGCTAGGCCTTTTTTGTTTGTTTCAGAATCACTGAAGTACTAAGCACTAAAACATTTCTCTGATATGTTTTATTTTAGAATTTTAATTAAAATGTGCCCTCTGTGCTGCAAAAGTCCATAGTATCACTGTGGAACAGAAATTTTGCAAGAGAATAGATTTGTAAAGCAGTATAGGCCTTATATTGAACAGAGAAAAGCAAAGGGCAATATTGACTTTGAAGGACTTAGTAAAGGAGAGGTGCAGAGGAAGGGCAAGAAATAAAAGAAATAGAGATTCCTGCCAGGGAATGAAAGACTTTGTTCCTGCAAAAGACAGTCCATAGTTTCCATCACTGACAAAAGGACTGCCACACATTGGTGCTGCTTCTGCCAGTTCCACTGAGCTTGGCATAATAGGAGTAATAGGAAGAAAAGGAATAATACTGGAAAGACAATCCTCCTAAAGCCTAGGGGATAGGTTGTTACAAGATAACACAGAGAGATTTTATTTTTCTTGGTGGAATAATGTGTAGAGGCCTTAATCCCCCATGGGAGTCTACTACCAGGTTTGTGTGTGTAAATAATAGATAGTCTCTATTCAGGTGCTTTTTTAAATATCTTTTTTAACTTCAAGATATAGTTACATATTTAAAATTCATCATAGAGCTTTATATGTTTTTGGTTATAGGCAATGAGAAAGCCAAATCGCAGTACTAATATATTTAAGAAAATTTTATGGCACATTATTTCTGTGCTATGGAACTTGATTAAACATCCTTGATGAGTCTAAAGCTACAACACAGAGCAAACAGACTAGGGTGTAGTTTATGTAGCTGAAGGATGTACAGAGCACCATGCCACTAGTTTCGTGAAGGTGTGAGAGTTTCTCTTGGGTGCTTATTATTCTGTTGGGTGTTTATTGAAAGCACACAGGGATGATGAAATGCACTGGTAACATGGGAATTGGCTACTGGTGCGAAAGAAGTGTAGGCAGAATGATGTATGTGAGAAGGATTCACTTTTTGAGATGAGAGAAGCAAAACAGTCTCGAATATGATTAGCTTGAATCACTTAATATTTAGCAAGCAGGACAGTCAGAAAAAG